TCATCAAATCTGGCTGCCACGAAGTTGGAAATAACTTACAATTAATGATAAATTCACAGGTCTCCAATGCATAATAATATTTTAGTTAATTGTTATTTTACCGATTTTATACAACTTACAATTTGAAATCCGCGTACTTCTTAATACTTTAATATTGAGAAGATACATTTATAATATTTATGATGCTTTATTTATTATACAGCCATCTTTTGTAAAATTATCGTAACTTACAACTTTTTTATTTCCGAAAATCCTCGGAAATGGGACGTTTGGCTTGACTTCCAATTGTCAAAATAACGAGGTTATATAGACCAAACGGCCAAATGTTTGTCTACGCCACCTTTTTATGAAATTATCTGACTATCCAAGTGGAAAGAAAATGGATAATCATGAATTTTTATAACTAGTAGGCCCGTGCTGGAGCTCAATCAATACCGTAACGAAGACACCAGGGTGTAAATCTCTGCTTTGTATTGGAAGAATAAGATGTTACAAGAGCTCAACACATATTAAATTAAATTAACAGATGTATAATTAGTGCGAGGGAAGAATGCACAAAAAGACTTGGAATTCTTAAATGTCTCTCACACTCTAGCTGGGGTGCCGATAGATGCACTCTAATAAAAATATACCAGTCTATAATACGCAGCAAAATAGACTATGGAGCGCAGATATATAGTACAACCAACAAAACAATATTGAGGATGTTAGATTCTATACACAATTCAGCCTCAAGAATATGCACTGGAGCGTTTTGAACTTCTCCAATCGACAGCATCTACGTTGAATCTGGAGAAACATCCTTAAACTTGAGACGAGAATACCTATCTCTGAAATACATTGCCAAATTGAAAGCATCTTCCTACCACCCATTAACTCCATATTTATTTTCAGAAGAATCAGAAAGAAACGGACTTAGAAATATAGAAAATAACATTTTTAAACAAGCAATTTACAATGCAACAACTAAAATAAACATGGATACGACCATTATAAGACCCATCCCAGAATTAAAAATGCCGCGTTGGAAAAAAGATAGACCATTTATTAATAAATCTATGACTAAAATTGCAAAGGCATATCCGCTTGAAATACAAAAATATTTTTTAAAGCTAACGGAACAATATACAAATTTCGATTTTATATATACGGATGCATCCAAAGAAGGAGGTAGCGTAGGATGTGCTTTAGCGAGTAAAGAGAAACAATTACTGTTTAAATTACCTGGAGAATGTTCAGTATTCACAGGAGAGGCCACTGCCATCATGAATGCTTTATATCTTATAAGCGAAACTGAAAAGAACTACTGGGTAATTGTGACGGACTCATACAGCGTTTTAACTGCCATTGACAATCCATATCCTAAAAACTCCATAATTAGGGAAATACTCAATATCTGGTGGGATCTAAAAAATAAAGGAATAACAGTTGTATTGGTATGGGTACCAGCTCATTGCGGAATTTTAGGAAATGAAAATGCTGACAATGCAGCCCATTTAGCAAGAAGTGGAGGAGAAGAAGAAGAAGTGACTAGAGTGAAATATATCACTTTAGAAGACTGGGTACACGAAATAAAGAAAAAACAACTGGCAGAGTGGGAAAAAGAGTGGAGGATCAAAGAGAGTAAGCTGAAAGAAGTGAAACCCAATTGCGATAAATGGCTCACTAGCAACAGAAAGTCTAGGCGTGAACAAATTATACTATGCCGCCTAAGGATTGGGCACTGCCAGTTCACTCATGGCTATCTTTTAAGAGGTCTAGAAGCTCCTACTTGCGAGAAATGTAACAATACACTGCAAACTGTGAAACACCTTCTAGTAGAATGTTCCCAATTCGAAAGGCTCAGAGAAAAAATAGAACTAGGAAAAACACTAAAAGAAATACTAAAAGACAATGAAGAAAGAGTCTCGATAGTGTTAAATTTTTTAAAAATTGTAAACTACTATAACAGAGTATAAATCATAGAAAACGCCAATGACCCTTTAGGGTAGAGGCGAGATTAAGGAAAAAAAAAAAAAAAATTAGTGCGATTTATAGAGTTAATAGGAGAGCTTCTGTAATCTCCTAATACTAAAATAAAATTAAAATGCTCTTTTGTATAACAGATTCTACTGAAAAAAAAAAATGAAATATGAGGACAAAAATGTTTTTTACTATTCAACGCTTTTATCTTACATCTCTATTGGCTCACTCAACAACTGTTTTTTCTATGCACAGTTTTAGTTCATAACTAAGTTTCACCATGTGTACAGAAGATACAAATTGCAAAGAGTACACTTAATGTTTGTTTTCCGTTCGATACATTTAAAGGTTTAAACTATTTTACGATTGCTTTTTAAGTTTTCATAATTATAAACATAAAATATACATTATACTTCTGACTTCATAATAGTAGTAAATCAAGTTGCTTCACCTCCTTATTGCGGACATATTGAAATTCAACCGGTGCCTACCCTGGCTGGTCTGAATTAGAATTTCCATTTGATTATGCGCCATCTTATGATCATAGGAAATCCTCTAATTCAATGAAAGTTATATCTCAATATTGATGATTCTTTAAAAGATTATTGTGGAAATATATATATATGGTACAGATATGTGTAAAATCAGAAATTATTATTGTTTGGTCAAGTTTTCGTATTTCAGGAACCTTAGAGAATAGTTCCTAACGTGAAAATTTTAATTAATTAATAAACATTTATGCTCATGATGTAATTAAGTACTTGTATGTAAAAAAAAATGGAGTAAATTTGAGATGCAAAAGAATCTAAGTGATAAAGTATGTAGGGTAAATGCACCAGTAGCTGACAGCTTGAGGAAATTTATTTGAGCTTTTACGTGTAAAAAACTTAAATATTGATGTTATTATATTTTTCATGGATTCAAATTATAGAACTATTTTTCACCTTACCAAGGCTTATTTCAAATCCATGAAACATTTATCTACATTAAAAAAAATGAAAATTAAGAGAATAGTTTTGTTCTACCAGTAGTTGACACTGTTTGATTTGAAATGTTCCTAAAGCAGGCAGAGGTGAGAAAAATCATGTAATTAAGGGAAATTTTATATTCTTCTTTTTAAGATTAACAAAAACTACATTTAACTTATTATTAAATTAACTTCTAGCATTTCCCGAGTTCAATTTATCAATAAATGCTGGTCACGTTCAAGAACCTGTTTTTGGTAGAGAGAGAAATACTTTATTTAAAGCAGTGCTGCCCTACTATATACGGTTGCTCGAGCATTCTCATCAATCTTTTTTTTTTTTTGTGGACATACAAATTATTTACAGATTCTTTTTCATGTTACACAGCACAAACAATATTAATACTATAATATAGTAATACATACAATTACAATTATACAATATATTATATATATATACATATTTCGGTGAAACCGATACAAGACAATTTCTAAAATTTATAGGGCTAAAAACAAAAAAAATAATAATTTAAAAAAAAAATGGTATTCGGATGCCAAAGTTTTAACACCAGAAAATTAGAACGCACACATAGCAACTAACATAGTCCTATGAACATAGACTAAAAGATATGGTCATTTAAATAATTTAAAACTGAATAAATAAATAAATAACAACAATCAACCCCTAATTACGATATATGTGATGATGAATGATCCCAAGGGAGTCCAGAATAATACCCTCAGCCAACACTGCCATGAGAACATATTTTTTCTATATATTTAATCCAAATAATTAGCAATTTTTTTTTTAAACTTGATAATTAGGGAGTGGTTCCATTTTAAGAACCGTTATATTTAGTATATTTCTTTGAATTGATGATAGTTCAGACCTGACAACTACTGGCAAAAGTCCCCACTATAAGTAGCTGAAAGCCATTAAATATCCAATTCCTTCATCAAGATAAGTTAAAAATAGATAAATATAATTTAAAGACCGTCCAAAAAAAAAAAAAAAAATCAAACAAAACTATCGGGATAAAACTGAGCAGTTAAACAAAAAAAAAGGGAAACCTAAGGTAATACTAACAGATGGGAAACTAAGTGGATCGCGAGGGACCTTCCTAATTTTTCACTCATTATTTTGGTTGAGATTTCCGACAAGACTAAAGCAAAGCAGACAAATATACAAGGATAAAATATAGAAAAAAAAAACCATATGAAATAGAGGTCTAGGAAGTCCTGAAATTTTATTATTCTCATTTTTCGAGGAGGATGTCAACTATTGGTACACTGTCGTTTATTTACTCTATATAAGATTGAGATAGAGGTTAATATTTAGCTAAAAAAAGTTGAAGTAATACTTCATCTCGGATGTGTGGTGAGGAGTGAAGGCCTGATTCGACCGCAGCGTGATGTACACCATTGCTAAGCACGATGGTGTACGATCACAGTATCCCTTAGCTCTACTTTATAAATATCCATTTATAAAAGCAAATAAAATAATTTTTAAAATAAATTTTTTTTTCAGAGATGACTGGGTGAGAAAAAAAAAGGGAAAGATATTTCTTGGATGGAATTTATTAAGCTGAAAACACAAGCATAAGATAACCCACGGTATGAGCTAGGCGCTGAGATTCCATGACGTAGTTCCATCTCCACTACTTTTCTTTAACATTATTTTTATTGTTATTATTTAACGCGTTTTTATTGTAATAATCCAATATTTATCGCCGAGTAAAAATTGAAAATTCTTGTAAGTACCCTGCAACATTTTTAAAGTGGTATACCATAATTATTTATTTCTATTTTTCCCCCAAACATTTATAATAAGAAATATAAAGTGTTATAACCCCTATGTTGCAAGAGTGAAGGAGCAAGGCCCCTGAATCTGTAAAGTACGGATGGTCAAGATTGAATATGAAACCCTCTAATTCAGCTTTCAAACTTGTATGGAACTATCGGACCGGAGTTGCTTACCAGCTTGAACTTTGACTTTGAAGTCTAATATTAGGCTTTAACTCAGCTTACATTTACATAAGTAAATCCAAAGGAAACTTTAGATACTTGTAAATAAATGAAATGTACAGTCCGTATGGTCTCTTGGATATTTGTTCAATGTTAATTTGATTACTAGAGTGGAGGACAGGTCTACGATGGATTATGCACATACATAACTCTTATGCATATAATTCTAATAATTCATATGCATATATATGGAGAAAACATTTTTTTTTTCCAGGTATCTTACTTCTCGACGTCGCCAGAACTGAGCAACAAGCAGAGGTTCGAGTACTTCACTAGAACGATCCCTTCGGACCACCATCAGGTCCAAGCCATGGTAGAGCTTGTGCGGCGTCTTGGGTGGAGCTACGTCTCCATCATATACGAAGAATCCAACTACGGCATCAAGGTGATCTTTAACCCTCAGGTTTTAGTTAATATTCCTGTTTTCATTTAAATAAATGAAGCGATCGCGTGTAGATTCTGTGCAATAAGTATACCAAATACTTATTGGTATCCAACATTAAAAACCTTGGCTTTGCGGGAAAATAATCCATAGATTGCGCTATTTCGCTTCAAATTCCTGAAAAAATCGGAAGTATTGTTTAGAATAATATATTAACGGAGTGATTTTGTAGGTTCACAAAAATGGTCCAAATTAGTCCAATTTGATTAATCATAAAAAAGTCCGGAATTTTGTTCTACTTGGCTTAATTTTGAGATACTGTGGATGGTACCAATTATACATCCAAAAATAAATAAAACATAACTTCTTATATTTCCTTGTCCAACCACATTTTTGTGGGTCAATGGAATAATGTTTTGGGTCTATAATGATTTTTTAGATTTTAAGTCAATTATAATTACTCTAGTAATCCAAGTGTGGAAATGAGAGTTGGCAAGTACCTCTGATTTTCTTAAACTAGACATTGTATTATTTCTTATTTCTGTTCGAAGGATGGATCTTCCATCAGCTAGATAAACAATATCTAACAATTGAAATATTATAATTTTTTGTCTAGGCTTTCGAAGAATTAGAAGTCCTTCTGGCGAAATACGACATTTGCATCGCCGTGAAAGAAAAGCTTGTGAAGGACTCAGGAGTGGCAGAAGAGACTGTTTACGACAACATAATACTCAAACTTCAAACTAAGCCAAGGGCCAAAGGTAATTAAATATACAAAGCTATCGATAAATCTGTTTAAATTCGATTTATCGGTAGCTCTAAACCTATCGAGCACTAGATCCTTAGAAGAAATAATACCGTTGACCCATTTTAGTGCGCCACTTTGTCAAGAGCTTTCTCCTTCATTCTAACTTATTATCCGACCTCTTAAGTAAATTTATTTTACTCTTTCTCTAACTAGCTGTAAATCTTTTTAAGGGATGGCTGCATAAGTTATCTGAACGGAATGTGGTATTTAAAAAACGTGAACTGTTTTTATCTATGATGGCTTGAATGCACAAGAATATAATCGTGATTGATTTTAATGTCATTTATATTTAATTCATTGATATTGCAAAGCTATCTAAAATTGAAAATTTTTGCTGAAAGCTGTTCCTCACCACCATTGCTTTCCTAAGGAGTGATCATCTTCGGCTCGGACCAAGAAGTGGCGGGGCTGATGAAGGCGGTCAGGAGGTGCAACGCAGTCGGGACCTTCACTTGGATCGGCTCGGACGGATGGTCCGCCAGGGATCTTGTGTCCAGCGGCAACGAACCGGAAGTTGAAGGCACGCTCTCGGTCCAACCTCAGGCCAATCCCGTCGCAGGTTTCGAAGAGTACTTCCTCAACTTGACGGTCGAGAACAACAAAAGGAATCCCTGGTTTGTAGGTCTGTTATTACTCTTCCTTGCCACTTTGCAGCTTTCCTCCACGTTACTATGAACTGACCGCCGTGTTACAGAGTTCTGGGAGGACCACTTCAAGTGCAGGTACCCGGACAGCAGCCCCACTCCTTACAACATCAGGTTCGTGAGGGAGTGTTCCGAAAAAGACAAGTTGACTAAGGACGACATCGTGTTCGAGAAACAACTGCAGTTCGTCAGCGATGCCGTCATGGCGTTTGCTGTCGCTCTGCAGAACATGCACAGGGACCTGTGCGGCAATTTCAAAGGTATCTGCTCCAAGATGAACCCCACCAAGGGCCCTGAGCTGCTAAGGTATCTCAGGAACGTCAGTTTTGAAGGTTAGTTCTATCTAATATTGTTTTAGGTTAGGTAACTGTACATAATTATATACAATATATAGGTACAAATTTGTTTGTTCAATATTAGTGAAGGTATGTTAACAAAACATCTGAGTCCTACTGCTCTCCTATCCTGGATACCATGTTAAATTTTCAAAATTTCGGAAGCTTTGTAGGATTATCTAGAATCTGGATTCAAAAAATCAAATTAGAAATTGATTGACTTGTGTGGCTATAGCCAAACATATATGGAAGATAATTTAAAGTTTAAACCAAGTGTGAAATATTACACTTACATTAATGTAGGTATTTCTACATTAGTCTCTAATAGATTATTTTGAAAAAAAAAAAAAGTCTAATTCCAATGCATCTTTCACTTAATTATAACTTCTATATATTTATTAAATATTACCTATCTCAGATAAATATTCTCTAGTTAGTTGATTTGGGTGAGTCCTATCGTATCTATTGTATTTAATCAGGTACCTTGTAGTTCTATTATTTTATATACATTTATATATATTTTCAGGACTTTCTGGAGACAAATTCAGGTTCGACAGCAATGGTGATGGTCCAGCCCGTTATAACATAATTCACTTTAAGCAGACTGATCCCGGGGTCTATCAATGGCTCACAGTGGGGCAGTACATTGAAGGAGAGCTCCATCTTAATGACAGCGGTAAGTATAGAAAGAAATGATTATTTAAATAATTAATTAGAGTCATAAAACTATATTTATTTTATATATAGATATAAAAAAAATGAATTTTTATTTCATTTCAGGTGAGACCCTAAAGTACTATTTCGCTGTTACTGCCCACCAAGCCAACTGCTAGCCGTTAAGCACTGCTTTATTGGACTAGAAAATGTACTATTTTGCTAGTACTGCCCAGATCAGCGAAATAGGCTCCTTTCTATTCCGCTAAAGCATTGCTTAACTGCTAGCAAGTGTGGTGGGCAGTAACAACAAAATAATACCTTTACAAATGGAATTGGCTTTTATAATTTAAAATTTTGTACAAATGTTTTGTGCTTAATCTAATCTGTTATTAGTGAAAACAAATGTAATCCATATATATATATATATATATATATATATATATATATATTATAAATATATATATAATATATATATATATATATATATGGATGCTTTTAGTTTGGAATTTGCCATTTCTAAAATATTTAAGGTGGATTTGGAATATTTGTAAAAAAAATAATAATATTATATTTTATAAAAATTACAAATGTTTAACTAATTGTAAAATGTAAAATATGCAAAATAATCAAATATAGGTAAAATAAATCAAATTTAAAAAAAAAAATACTTTATTGGTCACATACATTGATTGAGTTAAGAAACTTTTATCTACGAATGTTTTATACCTTATGTTACATACCTACCTACTTAAGGATATTTCACAATATAATTTGTTTCATATAGCAATAGGTTATTAATATATAAAATATATTATGACATCTTTAAATAAATTCACAGCATCTACATTTTTTACCTTGATGATACATTTTGGGCAGGAGGGAGGGTTGTGGGACAAAGAATCAGATGAGATTTAATGGGAGGGGGGAGAGGTTTCACCATTTAAAAATTACCCTGACCTTGGGATTATCAATGATCATTAAAAGAAAGGTTATGGAGTATTTGATCTGGATTATTATGATAAGTCCATTTGTAGCCTAAGGCATTTTATAAAGACTTTAATGAGGGAAGCAGATTCAGTAATAAGAGGGATTTAAATGAGGATTTAGAAAAGATTGGCCTTTAATATCCAATAACCTTAAAACTCGGGTTCAATGCCTACAAGAAAAGATTTCATTGGAATTCTATTTTTGTAAAAAGAGTACATTGTTGTAATCCATAAACAATTAAGGGACTATCCTTTTGAAGTCACCCGGTCCATGTTGCTTGATATTTTTGTTTTTTTTTAAGTTATTCCCTATTTATTTCTTTAAAGGATAATATTAAAACTTTGGTGTGTCCCCTCAAGGACTTTGCTACCTAATTCAAAAAAGTTTTTATATCTTTAAATATGTCCATTAAGAAACATAAAAAAAAAAAAAATTGTATTAGATTTCTTTTTCTGAAAATTGATCAATGAAAAGATTTGAATTTGATTTCTTTGATAAACTAAAGCAACATAACCGGCAGAAGATCTGTGTAAAAAAATCACTACACTCTAATATTGCTAATCAAAAACTTTTTACCATAGTCCAATTTTCTCATACAATAATTTCTATTAAAAGTAGAGAAAATAGTGAAAATGTGATGCGGACACTAAATTTTTTACTTTCACTTACTTTTTTGTTTTCTCTCTCCCCTTTCTGGCACCGGGATTTGAACTCATGATCATCCATTAGAAATTTAATAGCAGAATATTCATTAATAGTTGTCCGAAATGAATTATTTTTATTTAGTTTTGTAGGGAATCAAAAGTTTTTATATAAATTTTACCATAGAATATACCCTTACTGAGTTAGGCCCCAAAAAATTTTTCTTTTCTTATGAATTTTTGTTGCAATAGTTCTATTAATAGCTCTTATGAGATCCATCTATGCTTATAACTTTATAGTAGATATAAGTATAGCAAAATTTATTTATTTTTTTTAATTTAATGATAATTTCCTCAATATTTAAATACATTTAACAGTTGTAATATTTACCTATACATAAGTCATTACAATCGAAAAATAAATATATATTTTTGAGGAGTTATGAATATTATAGAATACATCATGAAAAAAAATGCTGTCATAAAATTAAGTCAAAAAATTTATATTTTTTTATTTCAAAACAAACTCGTATTTGAGAATTTTAGTGGACCCTAAAAATGAATCTGAATATTTTTTCATGACAAAAATTTATTTGGCCTCTTTTACTGGAAGCATCTATGAGATTTTGTAATTTATTGTATGTAAGAATTTGTATAATACAATTTGCAATATGCTTTTCTTATTTTACACAAAAAAGCTAATCGTTTGATATATAATTATATAGAAATTCAGGAAGAGCAAATTCAGGAAACAGTATTACAAAAAAATAATAAAATTTCATCATTTTTTTTCTCAGCTCCTTGGGTCCATTAGCGAGAACTCTCGGACATGGGCCTAATGTTTTTGGACCTAATATCACAAAAAAAGTTGTCCTTAACCTCCCCTTATTAGTAGACATTTAGAGAGCTTATTTATTAGGAGAATTTAATTTCTTTTTGTACATTGTTTTATTTGTTTTGTATATAGCTTGTTAACTCACTGTTTTCTTTTCTTTATTTTAAAATTATCGTATCAAACCTTTAGGACAGAAGTAGTCTGTTATTTTTATTATTCTAAAGGATATTTTTCCCAGAATAAAGTTATTTTCTATCTATCTAAATATGTTATATTTGGTTAAATATATATAATTGTAAAAAGCTGACTATTGCATTTATATAAGTACTTCACGTTTATCTTACATATATAATAATAGTATTTCAATTTCTCCAGAAGTACATATATTAATAAGGGAGAGTACATATATTACAATAAAATAATTGAGGTAGAACAAGTTAATAATAACATCTACCAAAGAAACATTTTCTTCTACCAATGACGTCATCTATCACCATAAATGGATAATTAGATAAAAAATATTATATAAATTAATTAAGCTGTTATATTTCAAAATTTATGAATGATTTATACTAAATATTTATCCTTGTAAAGTTTTCCTAATCGTTATAATTAGGCAATACCTTAACAATCTCTAACATGTTTTGCTTTTGTTTCAGAAATATTCTTCAACACTGGCACAGCTTTACCACCAGAATCTGTCTGCAGCCTGCCGTGTTCTCAAGGTCAGGCAAAGAAATATGTTGAAGGAGAAAGGTGTTGTTGGCATTGTTTCAATTGTAGCCAATACCAGGTAAATGGCATCATTATTATTTTATTCATTGCTATTATAGTATCTAAAATGTATTATATTCCACTTTTAGAAGAGATTTGGCTTATGAGTGATTTGTAATGTTATCACAGATAAGGGAGATATAGTATAAATTAAAACAATCTTTGTTTATTTTAGTATTTTTTTAGTTGATTTATCCATTAGCCTTTTTCTTTGTATTCTCTTGCCCATTGCCTTTTATTTATTTTTTAATTATTATTTTAACTGGAGGATAATGGATTAATTGTACTGTATTTAGTTTTACTCCACAATAGGCCATAATTTCCAGAAACTGGTACTCCGGGCAGATAATTTTTAAATACTCAGGCTTGTTTTCTTATTACTCATTTAATAAAGAGTTGTTGCAGTTTAATACAACTGTTATAACTATTGTTAATAATACATGATTCAAAATAGTGTATATTTTAAAAAACTGTTTACAAGGGAAAGTATTGCAATCATCAAAAGTTTTGAATCTGAGATTTCAAAGGAAATAGACGTTTTAAGGTCCTCTGATTCGTACTAACCGTGTCTTATGAAATGGTCTGTTAGTTTGTATATGTATATAACTTATTATTACTTTGAAGATAATTTTATTTCTGTGCTACAGGTACTGGATTTTGAAGATGAAACTCAATGTGTCCATTGCCCAGCAGGAACTTTGCCCGATGCTAACCAAAAACACTGTAAACCATTGCCAGAGGTAATGAATTATTATATTCTAATCTATTGTGTATGCAGTGTTTCAGTAACTAATTTTTAAAATTATCTCAAATGATGAATACAGATTTAAATTAAAAATTACTTTAATTTTACACCTTATTCATTATTTTTTATTCTATAATTAGAGATCAGATTTTCCATATTTGTTAGTGTGTAAAAACTTGAACCCAGTTATATATCTGTTTCATAATCTGTAGAATAAAATTTGAAATTTCATATTGCATATTTTGCATTTTTATGGGATAAATTTCAATTTTAATAACATTAAATTAGATGATTGAACCAAATTTCCTTTATAACATGTATATCATATGTATGTAAATGTTTATTTAATTTCATTAATTATTTCTATATTAGATTTCATCTTCAATACATGCTGAGAAAACTTATAGGGGAGCACTCTAAAAGTGTTCTGGTGATAAATCTGAATATATACGCTTCAACTCTCATCTACCACATTTCTGGTTATAGAAAATGGTATCTTCTCCGCTGCACAGAATTTCAGTATTTAGGAGTACAGATAAATGAAAAGGAAACCCTTGATACTGATATTTTGTTAAAGAAAGATTATTTTCTTCTGAATTTTTAACTCAGTGCAATAGAATAAGAATATTTTCTTGGATACAAAAAAAGAATATATCATTGATTTCTATTAGGGTGGTCCTATATTGTGCTGGTGCCTGGACACTAAAACAACAATATATCCAAAAACTATTAGCTCTAGACTTCAATTTTCTATGAAGAAGCTGTGGTACCTTAAGGCTACAGGCATATATCTTGCAGTGATATTAGAAAAATCATAGGTCAGGAAAAAATATTTTATATAATATTGAAAGCATGAGGCTTCAATGGTATGGCCATATAATGACGATGGAAGATGACAGATGGCCAAAAAATGTTTTCTTACACAACACAACACAGAAAGAAGAAGGGACAGCCAAAAAAAATCTGGATGGAATATATAGAAGAGAGAAAGGCTTCAGGAGGATTGCGAGAAGAGGACTGCTTTGACAGAAGAGTATGGCGAGAGACAATTCTGTAATTCAGATTACAATAATTGTACAAAAGCAAAATAATAAAAAAAAATATGTTAGATTTATAGTTGAGGAAAGGTCTGTCCAACCAATGGTCCGTATGTGGTATGCTGAAGATTGTGAATTGGTATGCTGAAAAAAAAGGCAAGACATAGATTTTAAATTTTTGTTCTTATTTTTTTCGATTTCAAATAACATTTAAAAGTTTAGTTAAGATAAAATGGTATTTTAGGCTAGACATGTATAGATAGCTATAGACATGGCTAGATATAGATAACAAAATTTGAAACATATGGATATGTACATTTTACTGAATAAATAATAGTACAATTCGTGGTAATGTATTAATTTTATTTAGTTCAAGCTCTTTATTGTCATAGTTAAGTTATTCAGTATTGCCAAACAAATGTATGAATTTTATCTATCAAATAATATATATTTATTTACCAGATTCCAAACAAATGGCTGTGATTGCGAAAGTATTTGTAAGCAAACAAATCTTATTGGCATAAAGTTCTTTCATGAAGTTCTCCTCGCACTATTGATTATAATAAAAACTAAGAAGCTTTGCTCAAAACCCACTTTTTAATTTAAATTGTCTTATACCTTCTACATCAAATCTCAATTCTTAAATCCACATTTTGTTTTTAAATATATGATGAACTTTGTATGTTACTTTTATTTCAAATAAATTTAAGTTAAATATAATTCATCGTTGAATTAAGATTAAATTTTTCTCACAATACTACATGTTAAACCTTACTTAAATTTAGAAGCTGTTATTCCAACACAAGAGTAAATAAGCATTTATGGCATTAATATTATAAGTAAAACAAAAACTATGATTTTTGCATGTTATATACATAACTTAAACTTTTGTGGTTTTTACTGCATGATTTTGAGTTTTTATACTCCACATTTTTCAGTTTTTTACTGCAAAAAATCCAGTCTCTAACAATAAAGTACAATATTATGTGTTAAATGATCATAATACTATGATTTTATGTACTTAAGAGAAAATTGAATAAAGATTAAAAATAGCTAGTAATAATATCTAATCTTAATATGAAAAGCTTTAATAGAATATTAATGTTTTTTATTTATTTTAATTTTTCCCTAAGATATCATAATCTACAATCACACTTTTATTATTTTTTTACTAAACTATGTTACGTATTTGTTAATTATTTTTATTTAAAGAAGAAATTACTTAAATTATCATTTTTTAAAAATTATTTTCTTTATCAATGAAAAATCTGATTAAAAACATTATTTAAAATATAAATGATTTTTTCTATGCTTAGCTATTATTTGTATTTTTAAAAAGGGTTGATTTGAAAAAATAAATTACTGTATAAAAAATTAGTAATTTTTACATTATTATTTTCAGGTATATCTAAGAGTGGAATCAGGATGGGCCATTGGTGCTATGTCATTATCCTTAGCTGGGATCATTGCAACATTATTTGTAGTGACCGTTTTTGCAAGGAATAACAACACACCAATCGTGAAAGCTGCTGGTAGGGAGCTGAGTTATGTTTTATTGTCAGGAATTCTCCTCTGCTACTCGATCACCTTCGCACTTGTCATAAGACCTACTGATTTGGTCTGTGGAGTTCAGAGGTATACATGTCATACAAATTATTGTGCCAACTCTACGATTATCCGATAAATACAACTATATCTTTTCACAGGTTTGGTGCAGGATTCTGTTTTACAGTAGTATACGCAGCCTTGTTCACAAAAACAAATCGAATTTCACGGATATTTAAAGCTGGTAAACGGACCACAAAAAGGCCTAGTTTTATTTCTCCAAGATCGCAACTTATAATTTGCAGCTTTCTTATCAGCTTTCAGGTATCACTCTCCTCCTAAAGAAAAAAAAAAAAATATATATATATATATATATACACTCCCTCAACATAAAAAAAACTAAATAATATGAAACTGATTAAGTAAATAATAATTGAATTCAGTTTTACATACATCTTAGGCTATAAAAAAAAAGTAAACAATGAACTTTTAGATTGAAAAAAAATAAGTTAAAATTAAATTAAAATTTGTTTACATAATTTATAATGATAGTAATATTGGTTTCCCTTCCATTCATATTTATATTTTAATATTAAGTATTTAGGATCAAATTATATATGACAATAGGCCTGTTGACTTTAGATCAGCAGATCGTCCACATAAAAATCGGAGACTTCACATTTGAGTTGATGTGGCTCTCAGGTGAACTTCAACAATAATATCCAGTAAGAAATTAATAGAGGATTAATAGCTGCAAACAGCAGCTTTTTAGAGCTCCTTACATTTCAGAAGTAAATGTCTCTCGCTTATAAGATCTGTTCTGACCTATGCGTCTGAACGTTGGAGGATCTCTTGAGCTGAAGAACCAATGCTCTTAAGATTTGAGAGACGGATTCTTAGAAAAATCTTTGAGCCAATGTTCAGTGATATTGTTTGGGGGAAAAGAACAAATGCTGAAATATAAACAATGTATAAAAATACAAAAGTTTTCAGATTGAAAGCCTTTGTTGAGCACGCCATGTTGCTCAAATAAAAAACGATGAGCTCCTAAGAGACTTAGGAAGTAATTTTCCAGAAGGAAGGATTTTAGGATCAAAAATAGCTAAGAAAAGTGATATCGTTTATTTATTTTGCTCTTTCTTTCCAGAAACTTTAAAAAAGTTAGAATTTACAAAAGTATTATACTTCCTACTGTTTTTGCAAATTTGGCTAATTAAAATAAGGAAAGAACAGATCCTTATATCCTTTCTTATTCACCTCATTTACTTTTCTCCCTTTGCTCTTTTCCATATCCCTCTCAAATAACTTTTTTTTTACATTGTTTCATTTACTTATTGTATCAATAGATTTTTTTTTTTTAATTTATATAACTTAAAATTTTAATTCATTTATATGTTAACAATTTGTTTTGATTGATTTCACTACATCTTATTATATTCTATTTACTTTTTATTATTTTATTTATATAAGTTGATATTCCATTTCTTTGTTTTTGATTATTATTCTTTCTTTATAACATTTTCTCTGGATATAATATGATATAGACTTATAGTAACTACCAAATCCTATTTATTTTATTTTGCTATTTGCTCCTACTTATTAGTATTACTTAATATTTCATTTCATTTGTTTCATTTTGTATCACTTTGTTTAATTAATTACATTGTTAACATTATTTTATCATTGTTTACTTCATAACTTCCTAAATTTTTATCGTTATTTTATAAGTTCATGAATTTGTTACTATTATTTTATGAATTCCTATGTTGTTACATAGTACATTTTGTATTTGTATACTTTATCACTTTGTTATCATTACTTTATAAATTTCTAAATTTATATACTATATATTTTCCATTCCATATACTTATTAATGTTAGGTTTAATTAGTTACAAATACTAGTCTAATTATTTTAACATAAACCTATCTAATTTTTTTCATAGTATTTATTTGTTATCTGGTCTCTGCTTAGCACTGATAAAGGCCTGAAACTTAGACCAAAACAACACAAAAAAATACATTTTTTTGTGTACTTCTGATGGCCACAATTCCTGATGAACTTCTCTTATAAGAAACAACCGTCAACTACTTCTTCAATGAAAATAGATTTAAAATTTAAGAAAAAAATTGTTTTTTGTTTTAATGACAAATATTAAGGACACTTATTCCTTATGGTCTGAAAAATTTGTATACTCCCTTATTTATTTTTTGAAATAAGCTAGTCAATAAATAGAAGGAGAAATAAAAATGGTGTAAAGTCTGCTTAGTGTTGACATTATTTTTTTATTTGTTTTAGGTAATTATTAACATTTTATGGATGATAATCTCCCCACCTAAAGCTATCCATTATCACCCAACAAGAGAGGATAATTTGCTAGTATGTTCGTCCTATATCGATGCATCCTACATGATAGCTTTTGCGTACCCTATCTTACTTATAATTGTCTGTACGGTGTATGCTGTCCTCACTCGTAATATACCAGAAGCTTTTAATGAATCAAAACACATAGGTATAAAATAATTGTTTGTCTCATTAACTCTAAATAAATTAATATATGATTTACCTAAGTTTTTATTATTTTTGTTTGTATAATTCAGGTTTCACAATGTATACAACTTGTATAATATGGCTTGCGTTTGTACCTCTCTATTTTGCTACTGGTAATCACATGCCGCTTCGGATTACCAGTATGTCTGTTACTATTAGCCTGTCTGCCAGTGTTACAGTGATTTGTTTATTTTCACCAAAGGTAATTTGTAAATAATTATTTATAATTATCAATCAATAATTTTCATAAAATTTTATATAGTTTTTATTAATAACTTGATAACTATTATGGTAATCTATCTTAACATTATTTGAAATGTTATTTGACTTATTTGTATTCAGAGGCCTCTTAACCTTAAAAATTTAAAAAGATTATATTTTACCGTAAGCTGGACATTACAGTTGCATAACAGTGGTGGAAATGATCTTCCTACGTAGTTTGATGGGAAACACTAGAAGGGATCGTATAAGAAACAAAAGTATAAGAGAGCAGCTGGAAGTACCTGGACTCAAAACCACTTAGGAGAACAGACAAATCTTGATATATTGATTGGTTTAGACGTGTCTGCCACATGAACAAGGACATGGATCCTATAAAGGTATTAGTGGCTTGACCCACTGGGAAGAGACCATGAGAATGTCTCAGAGTTTCATATCAGGAATTTATGCAGAGGATTGGAAGTAGAAGAGGCAAATCCCTCAACCAAATGAAGCTGTTAAAAAGAGATTTGGAAGAGTGGCTACACTGGATAGAAGCTCCTCGGCGCTAAAAATGGCATGTGAGGGAGATAAAAAAAAGAAGATATTTTACCATAATTGTTAATATTGTTCCAAATTTCTAAATCTCTTTGTTTTCTCAAACAATTGGACTGTTTCCTATGAAATTCGAGAGGTTTTACTTAGTTTAGACCTTTGGATAATGTAGACATTTTGAGATATGATTTTGTGGGTCAGAGATATGAACATCCAATGTTAAATCAAAATACAAGATGTTTGCATTAAAGTTTGATGTTTATGTTACTGTTTAACTTTGATTTTCAGACCAATCCATTATAATTTTAGGAATAACTGTCTTATCTATTTCCACATTATCAATTTAATAAATTAATTGAAAAATCCCAGTTGGCATGTTTCTCAGCTGTCGGTTTTATTTTTCCTTCAGTTAACTAAGTGATTGAAATTTGATGACTGAGAATGCCAGTCATAAAGGATCACGGAGTTTATAGAAACTACTATTTGATTTTTTGTTCTAAATAGGAGCGCTAGACGTATTCATGGAAAATTATATATCCTTTATTATTTAATGTAATATTTTTTAATATGCAGATATATTTATTCAGCTCTATTAGTATGGTTGTTCATTGTCTCTTCACAATTAAACATTTTCTAATGTCCAACAAAACCTTAAGTTTTTATACCACTCTATGTCTTGTTTGCTTCTCTTTGTTTAACATTTGGTGTAATATCCTCAGCACCATGTTAAAGTAATGAATGTGATTAGCCTTTAATATAGACGTATTTATGTCTAAGTCCTCCACTGTTTATCATCTTTAATGATGAAATAATTACATTTTCTTTAAATTATTAATTATTAAATATTTTATGTAAGAGAAGAACAGCAAGAGCTATAATTGGTGATTGGAATATGAGAACTATACTGGCACAACTAATGGTATATGCTGACAACATTGTCCCCATCGCTGACTCTACAAATAACCTCCAGCCAGCTCTAGTAGAAGCAGAACTGTGAAGGAGGAGCCAAAATATTAATGCCAGAAAAAGCAAAATTCTATGAGGAGGATGAGAGCCCGATCAAATACATATAACGTGCAATAATGAGAAGTTTGAAGTCGTGAATGAGTTCTCCTACCTTGGAACTATGATCAGGGGAAATGGAAAAGTCCAACCAGAAATATCCCAAAGGATAGGAAAAGCTAATAGCATATACTATTCCATTAGCAAGGGAGAGGTAAATAAAGATGTGAAGCTCCACATTTTCAAGGTCGTATAGATGTCTATTCTGCTGTATGGAGCAGAGAGCTGGGTCCTCCCGAACAAAAAATGGAGCCGAATAACAGCAGCTGAGATGAAATACTTGCAGAGTGACCTCTAAAACACGCAGGGATAGATTCAGGAATGATACTATAAGGGAAGAACTAAGCATCACTGGAATGAAAGAGACCCTGGAGAAGAGACAGTTGGGATTGTACGGGCATGTGTGCAGGATGAGCCCTGATTCTGACCCATGCAAATTTATGGAAGCAAGACCAGTAGGCACTAGACCTAGAAGAAGACCAAGACTCAGCTATATTTCCTAGTTGAAATATGCGAAAGGAAAGACACTGTAGGAGATGAAAACTCTTGCAAGAGATAGAGCTAGATGGAGATCCTGTGTTGGATTAAACTAACTCAACGCTGTAGGGCACAAGAAAATTAAAGAAGACGTATTTATGGAAAACTATATCTCCTTTATCATTTAATGTAATGTTTTTTTAATAAATGGATATATTTATTCAGCCCTATTAGTATTGTTTTTCATTGTCTCTTCACAATTAAAAATTTCCTAATGTTCAACAAAACCTAAAGTTTTTACACCACTATATACCTTGTTTGCTTCTCTTTGTTGTAATATGTTATAATATCCTTGGCACCATGTTAAAATAATGAATGTGAATTTGCCCAAATTTTCGATTATGATTATTCATTATATGCTATAAATTCGTAAAAATGACATAACTGATTCTGGTCTTCTGGTTGCCATTCAGATTCGACATTTTGCCATAAAGTGTACATGGAGTAATGTGATAAACAGGTGAAATTGAAAAATGTGACTTTTCACATTCGTTACTTTGGCTTAGTACCGATGATATAGTCTCAATCAATTTCTAAAAATCATCAAAGGTTTCAAGTTTAACAAGGCTTTGAAAGAATACTTATTCATATTTTATTGATTGATTTATATATTTTGCATATAAGATAGCTTCATTTCTTTTATTTTTATTTTTGTCTCTAAAGTAAAATATTTTCATCCTTTTAAGTTGCTCATTACTTATATTCATTCTTATATTTAGGCTACCAAGACTTTTCGTACCATTTTCAAAGAAATTCATCTTTAATGTTAAAACTAATGATTAACTTGATTTGGAATCAGAAGAATTTAAATATTTCTTATTATTGTTTTCCTTTATATTTAGCTATTGTTTGTTTTTATTTTATTTTATTTTTCATAAGGCAAAATAAACGTTTTAAAGTGATTTATATATTGCATTAGTTTCAATAATTGTAAATGGAAATATCTAAATTACTTAAGAATAAATAAAAAAATATTAATATATTTAACACTTGTAGCTGAAAAGAAAATTATACAAATAATGTAAATGAATGCTTATTTTTAAAAAGACCAATGGGGACACTTTTTAACTCCATTTTTATTGGTACATTATAAATTGCATAGATAAATGCAAAAAAAAGTGAGAATTTTTTATTGATTCCACTTGAAATTATCTTAACAACAAACTCCAGTTTCCTTTTCATTATATCATATAAACTAATTTGAAATGTATATTCAAATTTATTAGGGAGCCATATTAATTCTATCTTAAGGTTTTTGGTATTTCAAATAGCATCGGTTTTTTCATCATATATTTTATTATTTATAATTGCTGGTTGACGTTATGGGGCAACAATCCCTTATTCAGAACATTCTATACTAAAATTCAGGAACAATAGATCCTTTGTAACATAATTCATACTATCCTTATTTTAACTATTATAATAATCATTAAGATGCGTACCATTTCCTTTTAAATTACTACAGATCAATCATCTTAAAAGTCAATACATAATTTCCTTCGTAATACATTAAAAGGCATAACAGTCTACACCTAGCAGATTTTGTCAGTTAAAACAAGGCCAGTCAGATAATTGAACTCAAGCCCCTTGTTGCGAGATCTCCTTGAATAACAAATGTCAAAAATCTTTCTATTTTATTATTTATTTTAACGACAATCAATTAATTATTATTTGTTATCAACGCCCTTTTTAAATTTCTCTTCAATTATTAGTTTTTTAAAATAAAATTTTGAATATCCTTCATTATTTCATTTTTATTTAATATATCTGCATGTTTGTTTAAATAATTAATGATTTGATCAATATTTTAGTTATATGGATTGATTCTAATATTTTCCAATGTTTTGTTATTATTTCACTGTCGTATTTTTATAACAAAATACACTTTTTTATAATGAAAACCAGAAACAAATAATTCCTTTCTAAAAAACATTTTTTTATGTTTATTTATTGATTTGTAATTAATTCTTATGGAGAAAATGTCTTTGAAAATTTTTTAAATGTATTAATTGTTTTTTGGTTGTTTTTAGCTCTATATTATTCTTATAAAACCTGAGAGAAACGTTCGTCAAAGTATGATGCAGTCAAAACGAAGTGCATTGAAAAGTGGAACTACAGCGAGTGTAATGGTTGGGGCACTACCTGTAGCACATCCCATAGGTTACTAACATTATTATTTATTCATTCTACTGTATATATGTATAAATATGTATATTTTATATACTTTTAATTTAAATTTACCTTTTATTGTTTAGTGACATCAGAATCATTGATGAGGCTACACCAAGAGAGAAGTTCCTGTTCAGAAATCAAAACTATTTCAGGTCAGCTTACAAAATACACTCAAACATCTCCAAAACACCAAACAGAAAAAAATGCTCTAAACTGTAATTCGACGTAGCACAAGCAATTCTTAAGAAGACTTCGGCTATACAGGAGGTCAAATCGACAACCTGTTCTTGTATAAAGATGTATATTGTACTTAACTTAATTAATATACATGTTTTACTACGTAAATATACAATCATAAAGCAGATTAAATGTTTTGTAAAGTAAACTATATTAAATTTGTAAATTAATTTTTCTACTTTGTGAGTAAATATATTAATTTAAATGATTGAGTAGATTCTCCATGATTTGTGACTGATGGATCTGTAATGTGCAATAAATTTTACTTATTTTCATAAAGTCAAATAGAACACTTTGTTACTATGGTTATCTAAATATTTTTTATTTAAAATTTGTTTTTGATTATTTTGTATGTATCATTTTCTGACATGAAAATAGATAGTTTTATTTTTTAGTAATAGATAGATTATGATTTTTACCAGCTTAAAAAAACCTCATCATCCACTTATATGGAATACTGATATTGAAAACATAAATTAATAGATACTGGTGATAAGTGGCATTTTGGGAGAAATGAATTATTTATAAAATATAATGCATAAAATGGTATATTTTTAATGTTTTCCTTTCATTCAGTATTTGGTTTTTAACTGAGTTGATAGAAGTGTTCATTTTTTTATTGGACACACGTGATTTGATTTCATTTTTCTGAGAGCTCAAAAATGTTACTCATCACCTTAATACATACATGTCCACTTTACTCCACAATTAGTAACATTATGACCCAGATGAAGTTATATATAATAAATTTCACCACTTTTATAAAAACAAATTGAATTATCAAGATTCTAATATTTATAATATTTCTGTTATCATAATATTTCTGAAATGACTATTTTCTTTAATTTTTAGGCGATGTTATAATTTCAGTTCTTATTTGAATTGTGATCAATTCAGTTATTAGAATGAAATGTAAAAAATTGTATTTAATTATTTGAATTGTTATAACTATGTATTTGCATTTGTATATGTCACTCAGGTTGGTTTTAATAAATGACTATTATAAAAAACAAGTGTCTGTCATGGAATGTTAACAGTTTTATCATTTAATGTACAATTGTTGTCCAATATATATATTTTGTATATTATGTTTGTATAGTTTTATTAATTATATCTATGTAATATAACATTATTTATTTGCTCAAGATTGATTATTTTATTCAAAACCTATCCTGTGTGTTTTTGCTTAATTTTTTAGCATGTTCGAGAATTTTTGCATTAATTTATTATTAGTCTACAGCTTAAAAGTTCTCTCTTCCTCTCAGTTTCCTGTTGGCAACATTCTTAATTGAAAACGGAATGTTGCCTTACCAGATTCAATTTCAAATCATAGACCTAACTGGATTTCAACATACAAACCTATTAAATAAACTAGTATAAATTTTGTACACTAGCAAATAATTTAATTTTTTTATTATTAACAAGCCCAATTGGGCAAGTTCACCTTCCAGTAATTATAAATATGAACAAATAGTAAAGGTAATAAAAAGGTGATAGACCTTTGATTGTATCGTTTAACTAGTAGTTGACAGGTTGGATATGCTTCGATTTCATTTTTTATATTTATTTATTCACATTTACATTTATTTCCTTATCATCCATAATACATCAGGCAAACAATAATTTCTTTCTAAAAAACAAATTTCTTATCTATATTTATTCATCTAAAACTAATTATTATAGGGAACATGTCGTTGAAAACAGTTTAAAAGCTTACCTATTCTTATTTATCTTAATCTTCTTCAATGTTTCATACAAAAACTAATTTTCAACATATTAGTTATATCAGAAGTAAATTCTTATAATAATATTAAATTCTTATGTTATATCGAATAATGTAACACATCCGTAGAAAGAGGAAATAATTTTGTCTTTATCTATTTGATTTTTACTCTATTTTATATATCTGTGTAATGTTTGTTTAAATAATTAATGATTTGATCAATATTTTAGTTACATAGTTGATTCTAATATTTTCCAATGTTCTTTTATTATTTTACTATCAAATTTTTATAACAAAAGTCAGAAACAAATAATTTCATTCTATAAAACAAATTTCTTATCTTCATTTATTCATCTAAAACTAATTCTTATAGAGAATATGTCGTTGAAAACAGTTTAAAAGCTTACCTCTTCTTATTTATCTTAATCTTCTTCAATTTTTCATACAAAAACTAATTTACAACATATTAGTTATATCAGAAGTAAATTCTGATAATACTGTTAAATTATTATGTTATATTCAATAATGTAACACATCCGTAGAAAGAGGAAATAATTTTATCTTTATCTATTATTTGATTTTTAGTCTATTTAATATATCTGTGTAATGTTTGTTTAAATAATTAATGATTTGAACAATATTTTAGTTACATGGGTTGATTCTAATATTTTCCAATGTTCTTTTATTATTTCACTATCAAATTGTTATAACAAAAGCCAGAAACAAATAATTTCATTCTATAAAACAAATTTCTTATCTTCGTTTATTCATCTAAAACTGATTCTTATAGAGAACATGTCCTTGAAAACAGTTTAAAAGCCTAACTCTTCTTATTTATCTTAATCTTCTTCAATTTTTCATTAAAAACTAATTTACAACATATTAGTTAAATCAGAAGTAAATTCTTATAACAATGTAACATTACTATATTATATCGAATAATATAACACACTCAGAGAAAAAGGAAAACATTTTATCACAGTGCAATGCATTTTAATAAATAATAATGAATTTTAACTTATACTACATCACATTGCACTATTTACATTTTCCCCACACATTTCATAAAGTTAACAGGAGTAAAGGGAGCTGTAAGAGCTATTTATTTGCTTAAAAACAAGTATTAAAAGTCATATGAACAAAACAAACGAAAAAAATCGATAAATTGAACATTTATTATATATTTAAATCATAGTTAAAACTTTAGTCTACAGATAGCAGCACAAATCAAGGAAGTTATAAAAATAACGTTAATAATAGTTCCAGAGAGCTCCGCAAGATGCCAGCACTATCCAAGCAAGCGTTCCCGAAGTCAAATTACAGGTCAAAAATTTTATTTTGTAATAGGAGAACAGGAGCTACTAGGAGCTCACCTGGTAGGCCAGCTGAAAGTGCACGTGCACTTGTAGTTCCAACGGCTGCCGCGAGACAGCAGCACTATCGGGCCAAGCTCCGAGCTCTTCCGAGTGAGCTCCTTTTGCCTCCTGTTCTCCTAATACAAAATAAAATTTTCGACCTGCAATTCGACTACGGGAACCCTTGTCTGGATGGTGCTGCCATCTTGCGGAGTCAACTAGAACTATTATTTAAGTTATTTCCTAGTTTCCTTGATTGGTGCTGCTATCTGAAGACGAATGCTTCAACTATAATTGAAATATATAATAAATGTTCAATTTATCGATTTTTTTCGTTTGTTTTGTTGATACGACTTTTTATACTTGTTTTTAAGCAAAAAAATCGCTCATACAGCTCCCCATATTCCTTTTAACTATATAAAAATGTATGGGGAAACTATAAATAGTGAAATGTAAAGTAGTATAACTTAAAATTCATTATTATTTATTGAAATGCATTAGACTGTAATAAAATGTTTTGATTTTTCTGTGAGTGTGTTTCATTATTCAATATAATATAATAATATTATATTATTACAAGAATTTACTTCTGATTTAACTAATATGTTGTAAATTAGTTTTTTTTTTATGAACAAATGAAAATTAAGATAAATAAGAAGAGTTAGGCTTTTAAACTGTTTTCAAGAACATGTTTTCTATTAGAATTAGTTTTAGAATCTTAAATCTTAATTAGAAAAAATCTTAAATTCATTGTTTTTTTTTTGTTTGTAGTTAAAATAAAGCATAGCGATTCTTTATATTTGTAATTATTCAAATAAATCCCTCATCCTACTGCTCTATACTCTAATTAACTTTATAAAATGTGTGAGAAAAATGTAAATAGTGAAATGTTAAGTATTATAACTTAAAATTCGTTATTATTTATTAAAGTACGTGAAACTATGATAAAATTTTTACTTTTTTCTGTGAATGTGTTACATTATTCAATATAATATAATGATATTATGTTATTATAATAATTGACTTCTGATTTAACTAATATGTTGTAAATTAGTATTATAATGAAGGATTGAAGAAAATTATCATAAATAAGGAGAGTTAGGTTTTAAACTGTTTTCAAGGACATTTTCTCCATAAGAACTGGTTAGAGATCAATAAATAAATGTAAGAAATTAGTTTTTTAGAAAGAAATGATTTGTTTCTAGGTTTTATCATAAAAAGTAATAATTATAGTTGTGAATTCTAACAAATTGAATAAACAAATCATGTTGTTTTGGCTAATTTAGTATGGATGATGAGGGAATAAATGTAAATATGCATAAATAGATATAAAATATGGAATAAAAGTATTTCTAATCTGTTAACTGCTAGTTAAACCATACAATAAAGGGTTTATAAACTTTTTATTAGTTTTACTGTTTGTTTGTCTTTATAATCACTGAAGGTGAACTTTAGAAGCCCTATTGGGCATGTTAATAATAATATTAAAATTTTAATTTCATCAATTGGTTTTTGTTTGTGTTTAGCTCTACATTATTTTATAAAACCTGAGAGAAATGTTAATCATATTATGATTCAGTCAAAAAGAAGTGGTTTGACAAGTGGAACTACAGCGAATGTAATGTTCGGGGCATTACCAGTAGCACATCCTATAGATTACTAACATTATTGTTAATTCATTCTACTTTTTATTTGTATAGATATATACATATTTTTTATACTATTAATATAAATTTACCTTTTATTGTTTAGTGACATCGGAATCATTGATGAGGCTACACCAAGAGAGAAGTTCCTGTGCAGAAATCAAAACTATTTCAGATCAACAGAAAAAATGCACTAATCTGTAATTCAATGTAGCGTAAGCAATTCTTGGGAAGACTTCGGCTATATAGTCAATATAGTCAAATCGACAACCTTTTCTTTAATAAAGATGTATATTGTACTTAACATAATTACTACACGTGTTGTACTACGTAAATATACAATCACAAAGCAGATTAAATCTTTTATAAAGTTAAATAAATAATTAAGTAGATTCTCCATGATTTGTGACTGATGGATCTGTAATGTGCAATAAATTTTACTTATTTTCATAAAGTCAAATAGAACACTTTGTTACTCTTATCTGAATATTTTTTATTTACAATTCATTTTTTATTATTTTGTATGTATTATTTTTTGACATGAAAATAGATAGTTTTATTTTTTAGTAATAGATAGAATATAATTTTTACCAGCTTAAAAAAAACCTCATCATCCACTTATATGGAGTACTGGTATTAAAAACAGACTTTCATTATTATTTAAATTAATAGATACTGGTGATAAGTGACGTTTTAAGAAAAATGAATTATTTATAAAATATAAGGCATAAAATGGTAATTTTGAAATGATTATTTTCTTTAATTTTTAGGTGATGTTATGATTTCAGTTATTATTTGAATTGTGATCAATTCAGTTATTAGAATGAAATGTAAAAAAATGTTTTTAATTATTTAAATTGTTGTAACTATGTATTTGCATTTGTAAATGTCACTCAGGTTGGTTTTAATAAATGAGTATTATTAAAAACAAGTGTCTATCATGGAATGTCAACACTTTTATCATTTAATTTACAATTGTTGCCCAATATATATATTTTCTACATTATGTTTATATTATCTATGTAATATTACATTATTTATTTACTCAAGATTGATTATTTTATTCAACCTATTCTGTGTATTTTTGCTTAATTTTTTTAATATGTTCATGACTTTTTATATTCAATTTCTATCATAGTCCTATCTGGATTTTGACATACAAACTCTCTGAGTAACCTAGTATTAATTTTTTATACTGTTAAGTAATTTATCTCGATGCATCAAAATCGATGAACAACATAGAAATACTAGATATTTATATAAGAGATTTCTTTTTAGGTAAATAAAAATTCCCATACAGATAGTATTTTCTTGATTGTGGTCAGGGTTCAAGGTAAAACAGAATATAAAATTTTTGGACAATTTCAATTATAGAAAGAAATATTTTCAACAATTTCAATAGTTTGAATGAAAATTCCTTAACTTAATAATTGTAACAAAATTTTCCAAAACTTTGTTATAAGAATTTTGTTTTCTATAATAGGAACAAAATTTCCTTAATTTCAATAAATTAATATCTATTTGGTGAGAACTATTTTACTTATTCCAAGTCTTTTGTGTTTAAACTTTTTACTTACCTGTTGTCAGTTTTTTTTTATACAAAAAATACATTCCCATACAATAATAACTTTTTTTTATAATACATTGGAAGCAAAAGTAATGGAAAAACATGCTTATTCATATAAACAACATATAATTGAGAAAATCTGCAGACAATTCTTGAAGCTAAGTATTTGTTTTGACTGTTATGAAGTAATATAGCAATCATTTTATAATTATTATAGCTTATCCCATTCGAAATTAATCTTTCATTTCAACAGTTAAGCAATAACATACACTTATCAGTAAATTTGTGCTTGGTTTGTTGTTTTATCACTTATTAACAATGAATTATAAAAACCAATGCTACAACAATAACATTGACAACCAAGAAAGTTAAAATATGTTCATAAAACATGTTTTGTGTTTTTTTATTAAAAAACATCAAAAAATTTCTTCTGTTTTCATGGTGCTCAAGAGATATGACTACTTTTCTCCTTCATTTACCTTATCAATAGATTCTTAGTTTGCAATAAACTACCATTAACAGCGATATTTTAATTTTTAAAAACTAAAAACATGTGACAAGTATCCTACGGCACCTAGGAGGCTATCGGTAAGAAGTTTTATATTGAAAACAATCAATTTTATTTATTACGCAGTAAAATAATAAAGCCCTAAATCCTTAAATTCGCCTCAAAATCTCTAAAACCCAACTGTCATTGTTTCAGTCTGCCAACGTATAATCAGATTACTGATGTCACTTACATTTTTTAATCACTTTAATTAAATTTGTAACACTTTAGTGAAATTTAATTTCACCACTTTTCCATGAAATTCCTTTTCATTTGTTACCTCATTAATCAAAATTAACCATTTCTGAGAGTTGAAAAAGGTATCTACACTACTCTATTATTTAAATAAGAAATGTAATGGGGAAAGGAAAACAAATAGATTTATTTGAATAAATTTATTATTTAGAAACAGAACATTATTTGATCCTGGTTATCTTATAAAATACAAATTTTCATTTATCTTCAAGGGTACCTGTTATATTGTTCTTCTTCCAGAAGCCTTTTAAGATTAAGTAAATTCTTGACACTGCTTTATGTTCTTGCTGCTGCAGCTTTAATTTAAGGTTCAAGTCCTCACTTTTACCTGTTTTCAAGATTAAATGGAATGGTCGGGTTCTCCTCACTTATTATTATTTATTATACAAGGACATACTATATTCTGGAACAACTTGTCCCATTACAAGATTCATATAATAAAAAATTGAATCTTTATATTAAAGTAAAATTAAATTATCTAAAACAATATTACAATAAATCAAATATTTAAAAAATAATACAGAATTTGTTAAACAAATAATACAAACTTATTTTATGAGATGTTAATATTTACAATTGCTGGGAAGCTGAATTGATAGAACATACTTAAAAAAGATAAAGTTTAAAAAATACAGAGGATGTGGGGTGAAAGGAATTATAATTCTCACTTTTTCTTTTTTTTTTTAGAACTTGTTTATTGAGAAATATTACAACCTGTCTCAAATGATACAGAGCACATTCATATTCTATGTACAATAATAAAAATAAATTAAACTAAATCTAAATGTATTTAAACAAAAAAACAACTAAACTAATCAAAATAACAACTTAAATACAAACATACTTTTATAAAATAAATATAAAAATTACTTTACTCAGGGAAACTCTGAGCCAAGCCTTTTCCCCCACTCGTGGAAGGAAAAGTTCATACTCTAAAAGTTCACAGCGCCTTTCACTCAGCCACATTACTGCTATTAAGGATCAGTGGAGGCTGAGCAGAGGCGTCATAACCAGACATAGAATAGAAATAAATAACTTTATTCAGGATATAAGAAGATTTACATTAAATAAATAAAATACCTTATGTAAACTAAGAAAATATACAAAACAAACTGATGAAACTATATACAAAATGCTTAGAACTATATACAATACAAATAAGAAATGAAACAAAACAATCACTGTTTAGCTAAAAAATAATGAATATAAATAAAAAAGATAGGAACAAAAGTTAAAAATAAATTTACATAATAAAACATACATGATTTAATTGGAGAATCTGGTCACTGCTAGAACTCCAATATATAAAGGTCTCTGGGCCATTGCCACTTCAATCTTTGAGGAGGATTGTAGGGATGGGTGGAGCAAGATAGGAATTGTGCAAGTGGATTTGGATGATATATATGTAAGGTATTGTTGAAATTCCATAAAATTGTCAGGAATACGGTCTAGGACAAATGGGGTATTAATTTCACAATGCTGTCTTTTTTTTCTAAAAATTTTTGCTTTTTTAAGTTATATGCTTTAAAAAAAAAAAAGATTAACCAAATAAAGCAACTATAGCGGCCCTAATTCTAACAATTCTACTCTCTATTATTTGAGCACAAAACTCTAATGCTACATTTTCAAGATATTTATCAGCAGCAAAAAGTGATTTTATATTTCAATGGCCAGTTAAAAATTAAGCGAATTGCCTAAATAAACAACATTCAAGTTGGAAAAATCAGTCAATAAAAGGAATATTGTTTCTTGATCAGAGGCATAAATAAAATTATCATATTCAAAATGTTTTCTTTACTTAAAAATATCCATATAATAATGCAATGAACATAACAAGATATCCTGTGGAATCAATACAAATCATTGCATTAATTAAATGAGAATAAGGAGAAATATATGCATCATCTGATTGTGAATTTAAGTAACTACTACCCTCCATTAATCATGATAATAGGAACAATGCGCTGTATTTATGAAATAAAATAAACAAGAAAAGATACACTCATTTACCGAACTTTATTTATTGTCAAGATTGTAAATTATTGTCAAGTTAGATTTTCAAAGAAACTGGCTTATTAAAAAATCTAAAATAAATCAACAACCTTATGAATTGGTAATCAAATTAAATTCTCAAACTTAAATTCAATTTAATTTAAATACATCAACTTAAGCAATTTTATTGTTATAAATTTTGATTGGTTAAATTTACAACTTAAGACCATTAGATATATTCATATGTCTTTGGATATATGCATTTAGGTTTTGATCTTGAACAACCTTACTTGAACGACGAGATAGCAGTCCAGGAGGTTTTTCTGTTTACAATAATTAACATTGTTATTTTACAATGTCTTATTTAATTCAGAAAGAATACGTGAAATATGAATGTACCTGTGGTTCTCTAAAGCCAATTTCCAAACTATATTTTTGCAGACACTGCTTAGAATTAAGATGTGGTTATTGTGTCTGTCATGAAGTAAGTAAATTAATAAATGATTATAAGTACTGTCATTTTACAGTTCAATTGAAAAAACACTTCTAGGATAACAATTTTTACATTAAATGTTATAGCATTTTTATTTATTTCTTTTTTAATATAAATTTAATCATTCTCTAACAATGTTGGATAGGATCATACTGTTTCATAAATTGCACCTGTTTAACAGCATTGTTGTGCTTCCTGATGATTTCTGTAGCAATAACAATTCCTCCAATTCCTGTGAAAAATGTACTAGTATTTAGTTCATTGGGTCGTATTGTAACCTATTAGAAATACTATGTTATACGATGTTACCTAGTAGAATCGGTACTGTGTAAAATATCATTATTCTGCTGAGTTTGGTTACATTAGCCATTTGCTTAAGTCTTGAAATGTACACATTTTCTTTGTCATGCTGGTCTGTGCACATACCTTGTTCACAGTGCATGTCTGAAAATAATAAATAATTAATGTTGTATTAATTTATTTGCTTCTGATTAAGATAAACTGACAATTTGATTTTGATTTATATATTAATACCTGTTTGGAAGCTAATAGGGTAGTATGATATTATTTGAAAGTTCTTTGATTTTATTGTTTCTCGTCTGGATAAAGGTTTTGTGTCTGTATCCCTCACGTTTTCATTAAAGTTAATGATTTTTTTGTTAAATCCTGTATTTTGATGACCATTAAAATATTTCAAATGTTGCCGTGATTTTTAATTTATAAATTGATAGATAAATAAAAAATTTGTTTTTATTTAGCCTTGTACTTTAAAAATGGATTTCAAACTGTTGTGGTTATTTATGCATAAATATGTATTTTCCTTTATAAGAAATTTTTTGATATGATTATGTACCCAATTAAGAAAGAACTAATTATAACATTAGTAACAGTCTATCTCAGGCTATGGTGTCTGTATTACAAATATTGGTGTCTATATTATTTTGTTAAGGTTCTAACAAACGGCTGGAGATTTAAATAAAATGTTTTAGTACGATAAGCCTGTTATTAAATGTATTTTTTATAATTAAATGTCTTAAAAAGTAAACAGTTGTACAAGAGGAAATTAGATGGAAAGATATAGAATAGGTTTGAAGTTAATGTATTTGATATCAAAATATTTTCAGAATTTGTTTATTTTTTAAGGTTGTTTTCTATTTTTATGTTCACTTCGAATTTAGAAAATATAAAATACAGGAAACGAAAATTAATATCATGACACGTGATAAGGATTCTTTATCTGATCTGTGGATTTAATCCTTAACAACCAAAACAGATTAGTTTATTCTGTGAGAAATATATCAGCTACAAATGTATTATCTTTAAAAATCTATTAAAATCATCTTTTAATTATCGATATTTAAGATACTTATCCCCTAGAAGTTTATAATTTCCAAATGTTAATAATAAATTTGACCATATCGTCAGTTTATCACAAAAGTCATAAAGTGTCACCTTAAATCACTAAGAACTTAAATGAAATTTGCATTTGTAAAATTAAAAAATTGGCATTTATAACTATAATTTGATGTTTGAAGGGTTTGTGTTATTTTATTACACTTAATTTGTTTTTAATTAATAAATATGTCAGAAATTTAAAAAAAATTTCTTTGAGTTACTTTTTGCTATAAACTGACAATATATTATATATTTATGAAGTAAATTAATTAAATGACTTACTTGTTCTACATGCTGTATGGCCTGCACAGCAGACAGGAATCATATCTGTTCCGTTGACTTTGTTTTCCATCAGAACAACTGCTTCATTTGGTTTTTGGAACAGTGATCCAAACTTTTTAACTTCCATTTTCTTAGTAGCGTTACTAATTGTATAATTATTATTGTTAAATAAATTTGATATCCTCGAACTAGTATTTCGAACGAATGAGAGAAAAGGATTAAAATCCAAAAATCTTTTTTGTGTTTTATGTCTCATTAATGGCTGTTCCTCAAAATCTTTCAAGGGAAAATCTTTAAAAAAATCTTCAAAGAAGTCTAATTTCCTGGGCATGCTTGGAAAATCAAAGTTTTTGTGATTCATAATGGGTATAAAAAATTCAGTGAATGTCATGATAAATTTGTCTTTCGGTTTCTTTTTTGGTTTAAAGATTTTACCAGCTTGTATATCTGTTATATCTGGAAAAGAATCTTTGTCATCTTGAAAAGTTTTAGTCGAATCTTTTACTTTTCCATCCAAATTGTTTATCTGGAAGTCATCCCATTCTGGAAACAGTGGTAATGAGAGCTCTAAAGAATCATGCCCTGTTTGTAGTTTATTCTTTTTTTGTTGTTTGTGTATATCGCTTGTTGAAACTTGTTTGTCTTTATGTGAAATGTATAAGTCATCATCGAATTCTGAGGCCCCAATTGTCCAAATAACACAGAGTAATCCTGAAAGCATAATTGGTTATTGCTATTTTGATATGATCAAATCATTAAACAGAGTGTATATAAGTTTTCATATTCTAGGTAAATGAAATTTCTGAAGTCTTATGTGTTGAAGTTTTTTGCTTTTTGTACTAGTACCTATGTGTTATATGTGTCATGCAATTTAATTATTATATTTCTTAAGAACATAAGACTTCATAGGCTTATTAAAAGGTCAGCAATGAAAACAAATATTAACTCTTATTGGTCATAAGTCACCTTTTACGTGAAATGCAAAAATATTATTCTTACAAATACTGAAATGGTTTTGCTTATTTATCATAACTAGCTACAACCTATTGAGAATTATGTATAAAAACATAGCAACTGATAAGGATTAATAACAAAACTTGTAGAAACCAGAAAATTGTTTGTATAATTTTATTTCAATGTGATTTGAAATTATACAAAGTAAGTTATAATTATAATAGAACTAATGACAAGCACAAAAATATTTTCATCGACTCATTGACAACCAGACACTTTTGAAACATCTGTTGTAGATGATGTTTGAAACCAATTTTTTTTATAGAATTTGAAAACTTGAATATGAAAAATATTAAACTTACCAAATCCTACAGTGAAATACATTCTTATTAGTTTTATATTTTTTATTAATTATCTTTGCGGGGTTTATATTCACACAGTTGTACCTTGATCTGAGACCTCATTTCATCTAATAGGAAGTGTAATTCAATTTTGCACAATACAGCTTCTCAGATAATATACAGGTGATAATTTAATTCCATTGTTTTTTGTATTCTAACTATGGAATGCAAACATATGGTTCATTTATATTTGAATTTAAGATTTTAAATTTATAAATTTGTGACTAATCATTATTAAATCTCAACTCTCTGAATATGGCTGGCATAGGTTTTGTTACTTGTTTTAGGATTCATTCTTTCTGATCTAGTTGAAGAATATAAAGTCACTGAATCTAAATGAATAAAAACATTTTTAAATATTAGGTTTTATATTTATGATTAATTTTACGTCTTCAATGAGTTTAAAATTCTACAAATCATCAAAATGTATATATTTCAAAATTGAGCCCAATGTAACTCATTGACTAAAGGTAAACGTCAACATTGGAACTGTTAGGTCATATTCGAAAAAGATTTTTTAACTCAACTAATTTTTAGTTGTTTTTTTTTTTAGGAACACATACTTTTAAACTGGGGTAAAGTCCCTTATTTAGTGTTTGGTTACTGCAAAGGGTGAAGTTTAATACACGAATCTCCCCCTCCTCCTTTTAGGATAATTATGAAATGTGTCTACCTGGAAGTGTTGGAATTTTGACTCCCTTGCTATGCCTCGAATTTTTCTCTCTGAGAGATAAAGTTACTCCTTTGAATGGACACTTAAAAAATTATGAAAATTAAGAAAACCATATTTAATGGTTTTATCTCTCGATTATACATACTCAAAATACATGAAGTTTTCTGTTTTAATTAATAAAACGGTTGGCATCTTACACACAATACAAAAATAAAGACTATTATGATTGAAATGATGTATTTAACATTTGTAATGTAAATAAATACCTTTGGTGCTTATACATTCTATTTTCCAAGGGTTTTTCTGTTTTATTAAATGTTTGTACATATTTAATTTTAAAAATATGCGTATGAAAATAACTTATAATTGTATTTATAAACTGTTTTGACACATGCATTTACACATTCATTTTTTAAATAATTTCTTGGCTGTTTTTCAGTGGACCTCTCTCTGCAACTAACATATTTTGGACCAATGGTTGTCCGTTGTAGAGAAATTTTACTGTATTTGTTTTCAAATTTCACATTGAAAATTGCATTTACATTACAAGTGTATAAAAAAAACCTATGCATTTCCTTGCTTAATTCTTTCCAATACCAATCGATCACCTCCTCGTGTTTCTGATCTTTAGATCCCTTCCCATAGAACTAAAACCTTCAAACATTCTCTACTTGCCCATTCCACTGCTTTCCATCACCTTCTCACATCCCAAACATACACCTTCTTACCATTGACTTTTAATCTAAGAATAAAACGATTAGTAAATAATAGTTTTAATATTTAAATCTTAACTTAATGTATCAGTTTGTAGTTTTATTATTTTTCTTTTCCTTTTTTCTTTTAATTTATTTATTTTTTTCATTACTGTTATATTTATTCTAGAGATGATTTACTTTTTTGTTATTTATAATGTATATACTGATTAAATTTTATTAATATGTCTTTTAGCCAGTTATATTTTATTTTTATTTTTTTACATGTCTATTATTATTAAGGGACCTAAACGCAGAATAAAGATTGTTATCTATAATATTTTTATATCTCGTTTAGAATTCAGGAAGTATTTTTAAAGTTTATAATTGATTGTCAAAAAACTATAATTTTTGGACTTAATCCATTTTAGTTCTGAACTCCATCTGTCATACTAATTAATTTTTAAATATCTTTTTTATTTAACGTTAAAATGGTAATGGAGGCAAGCTATTTCAGTCTTAAAAACTAATGAAATATCATTTTTAAAGTCATTGTGGTGTATCTATAGAGTTCAAAATATTAATTATTTATATTGTATTTTTGATTGCAGGTAGATTCACACTACTGCTCCAATTGTATGGAACATTTACCATCCGCTGAAGCTAAGTTTAGAAAAAATAGGTATATAATTATAATTAACTATTGTTTAATTAGCATAAATTCAGTGTAAGAAATTGGATCATTCCAAACAACTGAATTAGAACTGTATCTTCTTTCAAAATTTTCTTTCCACTCCAATATTTCTAGCTGTTATTGAACCTTTTATAGAATAGAATGGAATATATATTTATTTGTTTTGGGACTGGCCTCATACACATACAAATGGAGTTGTACGCACATTGCAATTATTATAATATAACATTAGTAAATTAATTAATTGCACGTGAATCGAAGTATTCTTTTTACACTATATATATATATATATATTTTATCTACACAAAACACATTAATCAGCAAAGAATACTACCCATCAAATAATATAATACAAAATAACCTAATAATATAATACAATATAACTCTATAACATATAATATAATATAATACCACACCAAGCAACTAAATGGGGCATTAGACTTAATTATTACACCAATCACACTTTATGATGCCACAGGGTACTACAATCACAGGATATCACTACTGCAACGCAAATCGAAATATTCTACAAACAAACAATATATAAGAGGAAAAATATTGATAAACTATAATTACCTATACATTTTGGATAAATGCTCTTAAATTGAGGTTATACACAGTATAATAATATAAACTGAACCTCTTACTGTACACAATGTTACTTATATCTTAATCTATTTTCAATTTTTTTTTTTCCTGCTTGGTTGTCCTTTGTGGTAACCAAACAGCTGACCATTAGTAAGCTATTACTATGAACCTTTGTCATTTTTAATAATGAGAACATTTATTATAATTATGAAACTTATAACTAGACAGCGTATCTTCGTGCAATAAAAATCCAAAAAATGTGCAGTAAAAATCTCAAAATAGTGCAGTAAAAACCCAAAATATGTAAAATTGTCTTATTTGAACCTAAAACGTGCAGAAATCATGTATTTTGTTTAATTTATAAAATTAGTACATTGAAATTCTATCATACCTTATGTTAAGCTTCTGAGTCAAAATATTATATCACAAAAAAAAAATTAAAATGTAACATTGAAAATTAAAATCAATAAATTACGATTAAGGTAAGTGACAAATTTCAGGATTCTAACTGAGTTAATGTTTGCTGAAAATTTGACAAATGTGATTTTATGAATGTAAATTCTGATTTATTGATGCGAATTCATGATTCACGTCTATCGATTCACTTCAAATCCGGAAGGAATACTGAAAGACTTAAGAAAGAGTGAGAATTCAAGTTAAAACAAGGAAAGAAGTTTTTTTTATTAAATTAACTGAGGCATATTCTATTCTACAAATAGTCGGTCTGCACTTGTGTTTATTTCATCCTTTTGTAACATTAAATTCGAATCTTTACCAGTCACAGAATCATTCGCCTTTCTCATATTTTTCTTTCTTTAATTCTAAATTTAATTTGGAAAACAATAAAATAAAAAAAGTAAATATTTACACACACACACATATATACTTATATTTATGAATCATTTAATCTAGCGCAAAATGTGCAATTAAATGCCACAAAAATCAAAATCGTGCAATTTAAGGCAAAAACGGCAAAACGTGTAATATAAAATTTAAGTATGTTATTCTACAGATCCTGAAACGAATAGATATTTGGGTCCAGGGTTTTTACACCCCAGCAAATAAAATGTGCAATAACATGGAAATCCAGTCTCTACTTATAACCATTTTTTGTGTTAAGGTTTAACTACTAGCTTATATCTATTCATTGTTCAAAATTATTATCTTAGGCCCTAATTCAGACTAATACAATCAGTTTAATTTATTATTTAGATCAATATGAAATGTTTCACATTAATATTATTCCTAATATATGAGCCTTTTAGTTGACAGAATGACTAACTCCAATTTCAACATTTTTGTTTATAAATTTTAGTGATATTTCTATTAAGAAAATGTATACCTTTATTCAAATTTCAATACTGAAATCATCTATTCTAGAATCAACTTACTGTTTCTGTACAGATATTATTAATTTTCCAACAAGAAATATCTCTAAAATGACTTTACTCCAAAATATTGAAATTGAAGTTAGTCATTTTGTCAACTAAAAAGGCATATATAACTTATATTAACCAATACTAATGTTTCAAGGTGTAACACATGCTTCGATTGTCCAAACTGCTTCCATACTCTCTCAGTGAGGGCTACTACAAGGAGCGCTGAAGACGGGAATACAAAGACACCAACAAAACATTATTATCTTGCTTGTTTTTTTTGTCGCTGGACGTCAAGAGATGTCGGCATACCTGACCAAACGACCGGTATGATTTGTGTTTCTTTTTTTAAATTTTATCTTCTTTTATTTGACTACAATATAAATATCATTTAGGGCATTATATAACTATGTAATATTAAATCTTTACTAATAGTTATTGCTTTGGTGTTAAATCTAATTAACAACACAATACATAGGTATATAATTAATCCATAGAGGGTTAATTTTGAAAAGAATATTTTTTTCATAATCATCCATAGGTGCAGACTTCGGGGGGCGATCGCCCCCTCCCCCCCCCAATAAAAACAGAGAAGGGATGAAAATATCGTTTGGCCCCTCAATATCTTTAAGAACAAAATAAAATCAAAATCAATAAGAATTAATCTACATTATTGAATAAACTATGTTAACTAAAATCAATTAAGGAAATAGAAAAAGTTGAATAGATGGCTAAGCTAAGACCTAGAAGTAGATATCCAAGTATTTTATCATGCACTATGTTCCTATTGAAATTTTAGTTTACATTCAAAGATCAAAGATCTAGATATCTAGCATGAAAGATGCTAGATATCTAGTAACATATCTTAGGATTTTATGATTCATTCATGTGCATCCTTCCATTTTTATGTGAAGATTTTATTGCATTACCCCCAGCAAATTTGAAGCATTGAAGAAATGAGATTCATCTCATTTCCTCAAACCTTTAAATAAAAATATAAACAAGCAATATATTTAACAGCTTTGTTAACATATTTTCGAATATATTCCTACGGAAAAAAAAAAATTTATATATAGTATTGTTCGTATCACAATAACTATATTATTTATCACTCATAATTTTTATACATGATATAAAATCCCTAGACTTTTTTTTGGAGGTCCATAATGTCCCAACCAGAATGGAAAGTCTGTGCTTATGTCTATTTATTTTCTGCTCTTTGATTAACAGTAGAAGTTTATGAAAATTGGAAATTTTCTTTTAAAAGGGAAAAAAATAGCGTGAAAGTGTTAAATAAAACAATGTGATGTTTTCTCAATCTGGTATTCAGATTTATTATTTGAGTGTATTTGTTTTGAAACTTTTCTTCTAGAATTGGAATGTCTTAAATTGACATCTTATGTGGACCATATATATCCATGGTGTTTTATATGTCTAAGATGGAAATGCAAGAGTGTCGAGTGCATTTAGCAAAATTATTCAGAATTCAATTTTTAAAATTGAATAATATAAAGAGAATACGACTGATTTAAAAAGAAACATTATTATCTGATCAGCTGTAATTGTATAAGTGATGAAATCAAACTTATAATAATTTATAACTCAGTATATAGACCTGATTAATGAAAACATTACAAAACTGATTCAATGAAAACATTACATTGCTTAAGAGAGCTGAGTAGGCACTGGGTTGCTTGGTTCAAGGTGCTGTGTTCGAATCCAGCTAATGACGAGTAATTTTTCATCAGCAATGGATAGACTCTAGGATCAGAAGACCCTCCTGGGACACACCCAGCCTCTATAAAGTACTCTTGATTAAATAATTAATTGGAAACCTAGTGGTTGAACGTGATCCTGGTTCGATCACCTCCCTGTATAACTGTTGGCCTTGAAACAGTACTTCTTAACAAATTACTGAACACAAATGGTTCAGTGCTTATGGGTTTTAATGGAACAGATTTTTTTTTTTATATAGATCAAATTGAAAATATGATTTTAATTTTTCTGAAGATAGTTAGAACATTTTTGCACTTCATCACTTCAGTTGTAATATCATTATAAAAAAGAAATTATAAGTAAAATTACTAATTACTGTTTACTTTACTCATTTGATTTCAGGGACAGGGAATTGGCCAGTGAAGGAACTTCCATTTCAGGAAACTTTAAATTCTTACCTAGAATATTACAAAGTTTTAGCGATGCGAGAAAGGAATTTGAAAGAAAAGAAAACTTATAGCAGTCCATTAATTAGAGGTTATTCTTCGTTTTCAGTATGTATCTTTGCATTGTATGGTTTATATTGCTTTTGTTTCTTTCTATTTAAATATGCTAATTATATGTTAATGATTTTCAAGGAAAAATTCGGTCTTACTTCTATGATCGCAAGAAAACGAGCCGGTCTCCCACCCTTATCTCTTGGTGGTAAGGAGAATACTCAGTCAAGTCTGCCTAAAATTGTCCCTTCTGTGGCTGTAGATGATGTCGAACCCCTTCCAGATACATATTTTACTGATCTTACCAAAAGTAAGTGTTTTAAATCAAATAAATGTGTTTTATTGATTTGACTTGGCTCTAGTTTAAAAAAAAAAAAAATCCAAGCTTTACTATAATTGATAAGTAGAGGTTGTCTAATTAATTTATTAAAGAGAGGTTAGTAGCTAATTTATATTAACATAATTTCTTTAATGTCTTTTGTTTTGTTTCGATTTCAGTCACTACGCTCTCACAAAGACATTCTTATCCAATGCTGCAGGCCGAAACAATTACCTCATTGCATCCACAGCATAGGCATTTCTATATCAAATGTTCGCTGAGGTGTAGAAGATGCGAACATAATGTATCCAAGCCAGAATACAATCCTGGTTCTATTAAATTCAAGATACAATTAGCTGCATAGTAAGTTAACATATTTATGTAGTTTAATTTTCTCTTTCATTTAACTACAAAAGCTTTAAATTTTTTTATTAAACATTTATCAATTAATTAGTTGGAGAATGGGATAGCTCAGTGAGTAAAGCACAAACTCCTATGCTCTAGATTCTAGATTTAAGTCTAGTTGTGACAGGTATTATTTATTCTGTTAAATCAGCCGTTAAATTGACCCTAGTGTCTGACGACCCTCATGAGGCACATCCATCCTCTATGAACTGATTTTTCTTAATTAAATAACTAATTAAAGGGAAAAAGGTGGAGTTTGAGAGTGATCTTGGTCAGATCACCTTCTTGCACAATCACTGACAAATCAACACTACTTCCTTAGGAAGTACTGAACACTTCCATGGGTTTTAGTTGTACAAATTTTTTATAAAATAATTAACACTTTGGCCCATGGTAATAATTCACATGGTATATTCCTTAGTGATAAATCATTTTATAATATAGAAATTATTTAATGCAATTGGATCTTGTGGAGGAGGTTAACAATTTTTTCATCAATTAAAAAGATTCATTATTGAAAATAATAAACCAAAACAAGAGTTCAAACTAAAGTAGGCTTATCTTTCAGGTAATAATGTTCTGATTTCAATGATTTGATTTTTTTTGCTTTGTAGATAAATTAATTGCCTTTTAAATAATCATGTATATAACCAACTATGCGTTGTATACTTCTTGACTTATGCACAAATAAAGTTTTCTTAAAGTCCCTAATTTTTTCTCTGATTTTTCTGAGGAATGTGTTCATTTTTTGGCAATGATAGAGAAGATTATCTTCAAAATTATGGTTCAATCATTGGTTTTGATGACACATTAAGTACGGAAAGATATGGAGCACAGTCAAACAATACCCCTTTCTAAAAAAAAAATATGTTAGCCATTCAAAAACTGAAGCTATGTGATATTCTACTCTTTAGGGGAAGTTCTGTAAAGGTTTATATAGAATAATAAGAGGTAATTCTTGGTAAAGAAAAGCAGTTTACTTTTTCTATTAAAAATTACCTGTCTTAAGCATATCAAACTATTTGGAAGCATGAGTTGTATACAATATTAAATTAACTATTTATTATGAAAAAGATACACTACTTTTGCATACATTGGTCCATAAAAATACTATACATTTAAATACAAGAATCAAAATATCAAACAGAAAAAAGGAATTGAGGTGAGGGACTTACTTAACTTTCGATGACACTATGGTCCTTGCAGAATCGTGGCCTCCTCGACAATTCTGTGACATTTGTCTCTGTCCAATGTCGCTCTTCTCCACCTTCGAACTCAAAGTGTCCTCAGGTCCTCCACGTCCTCCAGCCGCCGCAATCTGGGATACCGTCTTCTTCGTCCTCCACCATGATGTCCCTCCAGAAGCTTCTTCGGGATACGCTGTTTCTCTATCATTTAGAGAAACAGCGTATGCTTGTCACATGCTTGTTCAAATGCTCCACCTACCTAATTTTACTCCTCTTGATGCAGGTGACAATATCCAGGACCTTGTATTGATCACAGAGCTCCTGATTGTTTCTCTGCCTCCATTGATCTCCCTCCCTCACAAGGCCAAAAATCCTACTCAGGACTTTTCTCTCCCACACGTTCAGTACTTGCTCTGACTTCCTGATGAGGACCCATGTTTCACATCCGTATGTCACCACTGGTCCTGTAATGCTAACATATACGGCCTTCTTTAACTGCCAGAGCAACACCTAAGCACTTTTCCGAGCGCCTGGCAACATCTATTTCCGGCCATCATGCGTGACTTTATTTCTGCCTGTATTCATTCTTTTTGTTTACATTGGCCCCAACATATTTAAACTCCTGTACCTACTCGAAAAAGTATTCTCCAGTTCTAAGACCATTCCTTACCCCACAATCAACCCTGTAGGTCTTCATATATTTAGTTTTGGCTTCATTAATGTTGAGTCCTGCTATTTTTGAGGCTTTTTCACTTTCCGCAAAAGCTCCTGTTAGGGATGCACGTGTACGACCAGTAATGACGTCATCCGCAAAGGCAAGATGTTGGATCAGTCGATTATTGATGGTCCTCCCAGGATTTGTTCTAATGGCCCTTATCACTATTTACAAAACAATGTTGAATAGGATGGGAGATAGGGGATCTTCTTGTCTTAATCCTTTGTTGATTTGGAAGCTACTGGACCTTGCACTTGGTATTTTTATTCTTCCTTGTGTCCCTTCCAAGATCGCACGCTCTAATCGAATCAGTTTTTCCGGTATACCCATCTTTGCAATGGCCTGATACAACGCCTCGGTCTACACTGTCGTATGCTTGCTTGTAGTGTATGAAGAGGTGGTGAAGATCAATATTACGTTCATATCATTTCTCCAGCCTGATCCTTATGCTTGAAGTATGGTCTGTAGTGGATCTACCCCTTCTGAATCCACTCTGGTATTCCCCGTTCTCTCTCTTTCTCAGGGTACTGGAGTATCCTGCTCATCAACTGAATGGAGAAAACTTTGTATGCTGTGCTTAGCAACGCAATGCCTCTGTAGTTTTCACACTCCATCTTGTCTCCCAGGTCAGAGACAGACTAAGGATGAATTAAAAGAAATTGCATTGGTTAAAAGATTTATTTTCTTGAGTATGTAATAATCACAGCAATTTTAGAACATGTGAACAATAATTTATAATTCAGAGAAAGAAAATTAAAGCGATGTTAGTGGATATTTAGTCGAGAAAATGAAAATTTTATAATCAATTATCTTAGAAAAATAATAAAAACAGCATAATACGATAGTAAAGAACTAAAAGATAAATGGAATAATTAAAAATATGGAGAAGGGTCACAGCATTATCTTTTAACTTGTAAAACATATTTCCATGTAAATCAGTTTTTAATTAGCTGATAAATTTGTATGCAAACATTATTTGATTTAAAGTACACTGCAATATTTTAAAAGACCTCACTAAGTTGTATAGTAATATTGTTTTATTGCTTGCATATTTTTAAATTAACATAACTTCGTAAAATTAAATTTAAATATCTTTTTAAAGTTACCACATGCCTGAAGTACGCATAATGACATTTGAACCACTGAAGATTGGAAAACCGAGTGAAATTATCCTTAAAATAACCAACCCGACTCAACATTTGACATCTCTTCAGTTTGGCTCTCTTATCAACAGCGAGGAAAGAAAGAATTTAAAAACAGAAGAAATTTCTGAGACTAAAAAGGTATTGAAATTTATTTTTTTATAAAAATCTGTTTATGATTTCTATTGTTGGGATGTTGGTCAATAAATAAATCAATGTTAAAATTTCCTAAACTAAAAAAAAACACAAAATTTATTGCACTGTTTATATAAATGAATAAACAAAATAAATATTTTTACTTCAAAAATAAAATAAACAAAACAGAATAAAATTCTTCTAAAAATTAAATTACTGTCTTGAAATATATTTTCATTAGTTTTTATCTTCTGCGGTAATACCTCGTTGGCTGGTGTTCTTCTGCCCAAACTCTTTGGGCAAAGACACAGACCTCAGTAGGCTATTTATAGAAGCAGTTTAAATCAACCTTGCCAACATATACACACGTTGCGGGATTCACTGGAACTTCACAAGCTGAAGTCAAAGCGGGGAAGATGACAGGCGAACTCTCCACAATAAAATGTTTTAATTAACTATCTCTACTATCTATCACCATGTCTAATCGGTAATCAAAGAGATATGTACAGAGATTGAATTGAGTATAAAATGTAAAATCGCTACATTATTATAAAAATAATCATGGGCAATACTATTTATACACATGTATACGCCAACAAGTGAATTATTACTGATAAAAGGACAATCTTTAAGGAATTTTTGTGATATATTGAAAATAATGCACCAATTAAAAGTACTAATTTTATTTCAGAACCCACATTATTAACTTATCTTATAATGACTTAGAAAAGTTATATAATTTTAAAGGGTGTTAAAACTTATAAAAAATAACTTTTATTCTTACCATGAGATAAAATTTTGTAGGAATTCTTGTTTAATATTTTTTTTTCTAATTTCTTTGAACTATTAAAAAATAATATTGATTTTTTATAGCTGATATTCTATTCTATTTGAAAACAAAAATAAAAAAAAATATGTTTCAGGAAAAGCTTCCTTTAGAACTTCCCAGACCAATTAGGAATTTACAAATCAATACAGATGTTGAACTTCCTCAATGCTCAGTGATATTACCACCAAGAGATGATGCGGCTGAATATGATGATTCTGCTGACACACATAACTTCCAAGATGATACCAAGTACGATTTACAGCATATTTATTAACCGTTGTTAAAATTTTTTTTCAATTTCTTTTTTAATATTATAAATTAAATTAAATTGTTTTGTTATTTAAATGTACAGATTATCGGGATTGATTGGAAACCATGGTTTAGGAGGGACTATGTCAATTTTATGAAACAAATATTAAAATCTACGAAAGTAATTTTATGTATTACAAAATAAAGAATGTGTAGGATTTGATAAGTTTTTTTGAATGAGTGATTGCTTATGAGCATAATTGGGTCTGATTTAAATCCTATTGAGGTTTTTTGTTTATGATTGGAATGTTTGAATCTATATTTTTTTTATTTAAAAAAAATAAGCAGAACATAGGAATTATAAGTTTATTTTGTATTTGGTTTATAAAATATTAAATTATAATATTGTTGATCATTAAATTTATGAAATAATTTTAGTATTAACATAATTTTCTCTTATTTTTTTCCTTTAAAAGAGTTGTGGTGTGGCGAAAAGGGAATAAAGTTGCAGTGAAGATGAAAATAACACCTCAAAACGGCATGGAAGGAGGAGAGGAATCTATTTTTGGATTTTCGATGGAATATGGCTATGTCAATACAATGCCAACTTTAGAACAGAAGCAGCCGCTAAGAGCAGAAATACAAGTGAATCTTTTCATTTCCCGGGCCACGTATCATCTTCGCAGGTGAACTGAAGCAATAATTTTCTCCTATCTTTAGAAAATATATCAGAAGCATATTATAAATGAATTCCGCATCTAGCTGTTCTCTTCCCAATCTCGACTGATGGATTTAAAGAGTCGATTCATTGCAAAAAGTCATTAAGTGACATTTTATAACCTTAATTCAATTGAAAGTTTGATGAATTTTCCCTTAGTGAAATCAGACAATTGTGCGCTTGTTACTATATTTGATATAAAAGAGTTTATGTCATTTTAATGCACTTACATGCATCATTTTTATCGATAAATAATGTCGAAATTCACAAAAGTGTCCTTGAAAGTTCAGCTCCATCAAAACTGTACTTAGTGACTTTTTTCTTTAAACTGGCAATAATATGTATATTATTCATAAAGCTATGGAGCTTAATTTTATTTATCTACTGATAAATATTTACCAACTTTTTGTATAATTCTTCTGTGATAATTTTTTTTTTTTTTATAAGTTGTTTTCACCTATTGATGACTAATTGTTATATTGTTTTAGGATTAATTAACCTGTAATCGATCTGAAGAGTTTCTTGGATGAAGCCCTTAAAGCAATTGTAACTGTAAGTATAATTTAACAGATATGAAAAGAATTGTAGTAAAAATTTCCTATAATATAATTTTTTTTCTCAGTTTCTGGGTTAACATTGAAAAAGTGAGCACAAATTTCAATTGAATATTTTAATGTGATCATTATAAATTTAGCTTACTGCCCGTGTGCAAACATTTTTTTAATAATGAAAATATTGATTCTAGAAAGCAATTTTAATTGATTATCATAAAATATGGTTTAGAAAATTTTCAAATCACTATATAAATGATTATAGATTAGTAAGAAGTGAATTATAATGTTAAATTTTAGATTTTTTTAAATGGTTAAATTATAGAGTTAAATACAAACTTAGATAGTTTAGATTTAAATATAGTTCCGATACTCAGACATGAATGTTAATCATTCCATTTCAACTATACTCATCAAATTTATCTTTATCGATACTTTAATTAATATATATACTCTTAAAAAATTAATTAATAGTTTCCTTTGACATCAGGAATTTTAATTTAAAGGAAATTAGTGGTATACAAATTGTGTGCCCTTTCATTTTGGATATGTGATACATCGAAACAGTGATTTCTTTCATTTAGATTCTCCGTTTTTGTTAAATTTTTCTAACCATGACCGAAACATATTATTTTTAAATACTTACAATATACTATTTTTTTTTCTTGCCATAGTTGGGGTTTAAAAAAATTCCATTGATCATATGGTAGACATCCTCACTGCTTATCTTATTCTCTTGTTTTTTCCTTTTCTACCTTTCCTCACCTTTTTGGCTATACAGGTGTTTAGGCAACTTTCCAAATTTTAATTAAGGCAAGGCAAATACCTCTTATGTGTTCAAAATAGGCAACATTCAACTTATGGGCAACATTCGAATAATTTATGCAGTGGACTGTATTTTAATGAATTGGTTGATCATCTGAATTGTGCAAAAACTTGCCCATTTATGCTGGTTTATACATCTTATTACCTGAGGGCGCCCTCGGAGCAGGTGTTGTCTCAGGCTAGTTTGGAGATGGAATAGGGAGTCGTACTGGGAGCTGGTATGGATTAAATTTTATTGTTCAGATATTATCTGATCAGCCGCCACAACGAGACAATTGGGCACTATCCTTGCACAAACAACAGGTTTTTTCTCAATCCAGGGGAGAGGGCATGGAATTATGCCAAACTTAAAAGTCCCCCCTGGCACTAGAATTTGAGCTCATAAACTTCAGTTTGTCACAGGTTTCTACAGGAAATATATGCTTTGCATACATCCCACCATCCTTCTTATCTTATCCATAGCTTGTTACCCATGCTCCTCTTAAAATCTCTACTTTCCATCGCCAGCTTGCTCTTTCAATGTGTCAATGTTCCATCAGATGTAGGTTATCAAAAATATTTTATTGTTGATAATAGTTATTTTAAAGCTTTATTAGAAATATTGAGTATTTTTTTTTAAAATATAATGTATGCTTTCTTTTTTATAGGATACCTAGAAAACTTGCTAGATATCTGCATACTCTTGTGATCAACAATATTCAAGCAGCACTACTATGTTTATTAGAACTAGCACATTATGAGCATTATACAATTATTTTGTATATTTATTTATTTATTTCTTTGATTGATAAATTATATATGCACACTTAATATTATGATATCACGGTATTTGAAATCAACATAGATTTATAATATTGTTGGCATTTAAAATGTTTAATGTTTCTTCTTTGATTTATCAATATATTCTCAAAAGTAAAAAAGTGCATTTAACTATGATTATTTTAAAAGTTGGGTTAAATAAAAGCTTATTAATCGAAATGGAAGAAAAATTTGTTTGCCTCAGTATATAAGCAAACTTATATTTAACCAAAGGAGTTTTCATGAATAAATCTAAGGGTTCCATTTATACTTTATCGTTGAGAGCATAATAAATACTATTTCCATTCCTAATCAAATAAAAACTTAGTGATTGAAGTACATGTAACTGTTATGCATGTTGTTTTTAATAAGTATCCATTTTTTTTTTTTGCACATTTTCAAATGATGAAATAATATGATTTACCACTTCATATTTATTCATATATGGTGATATTAGTTGTCATATAAGTAATGGAAATAAAGTGTAGTAACTTTTACTATGTTTGATCTCCAATTTATAACTATTATGTAACTAATAATTTTGTGTTTTTCTAAGGAAATTCACATTTTATTTATTTTTTTGGCATTGAATTCTTATATGAATCATATTTATTTACTTCACATTTTGTCTGTATTTTGTTCTTGTGATATTTATTTGTAGTAATTTATAATTTATTTCTTAAACAATTGCAAGACAAAAGTATTGCATGAAACTATAAAATATCATGTAAGTTAATAGTTCTTTTTTAATATAATAAAAAAAAAATTAAGAAGTGAAATAATATATCGTCTTATTAACAGAAAGAAAGTAAATTTTTGTTCTAACTTAAATTAAAACATTTCATAAAAATGTATTTATTTTGTTATTTATGCAATATTTAGCAAGCCATGCTGGAAAAATGAAAAATTAAAATTTCAGGCATCAAATCAAATCACTCAGTTAAATTAAATAATTTGAACAATTTGTTGGATGATACATGATATAATTCATTGTAATTACAACAAACAATTTATTTATGCTATTCCAACAAAAACCTTTTTTCAAACAGCTTTAGTTGAAGATAATTATTCAATAAAGAAAATGAAATACATAGTTCACAAAAAATTAGTTGGTAAATTTTTATGTAAAATTTATTTATTAATTGATACTTGTTTGTCTTATATGTGAATATAGATTAACAAATTATTTATTTTGTTATTTTGTGGATAAAATATTTGTTAATATTTAATATTAATTTTTTATTAATTTGTAAATGTATTTATATTAATATATACTATTGAAATAAAAAAAAATTATATTAAGCTCAATTGCTAGTAATTCTTCTCTTTATACTCTCCTGTTCTACGCCACTCCTCAAATTTTACAGGACTACCTAAATATCATTCTTACATTTTTTAAGTGGACTGCCCTGTTGTTCTTTTATCTTCTTGAGACTGATTTGCCTTCACAATCTTGTCATCTCCATTGGGATAATAGGTTGGAAATAATTTGGTATAACCTTTTTAATGTACAATGCAAGAATTTAAAAATCCCCCTCATACTAATTTACTGTTTGAACCTTAATCAGGACCAAACAAATCCTAACACATTTGGCTACAGCTTATTTGCGAGATTAAAAATTTAGTTCCTGTATAGACTTGAGAAAACAATTAACAATCTGAACTTTTAACTTAAAATGGTTATATTTCATTTTTTGTATAACATTTTTACATAATCACATATATAATGAGCATTAAAAAAAAAAGAAACAAAAATTATTTATTTAAAAAATGGAACTAATTAAATTAACTTAAAAAAAATTAAAATTGAAAGTTAAAATAGTTTCTATCTATTTTTGGCAAACCCTATTCTTAGGCATATAAAAAAGCTAAGTGCTTTATCTTACGGATTAAGTATATCCAACTAAAGGTTAAAATTCACTTGGTCTTTAGATACAATAACTCAAATTTCTTGTTTTATTATTTAAACTAAGAATTTGTTTATCAGTTTTCTGTAATTTTCCCGAATTCTGCTTTTACTCACTTTGTTTCTGCCTTCAGGTTATGTTTTTCGCCAGTTGCAGGATACATTTATAATTTATAGATTCTCAAACCTACCGTAACCATTCAGTCAATTGTCACTTCTCAATATGTTAAGGCTTATGTGCATTCCAAGTGTGTTTTTATTGTTGGTCATTCATATGTCCCAATCAAGCCAACAAGACATTTTAAGATAGTTTTTATTCGATCTATTTAGAACAAGCTGACTTATTAAGTTGTCTGCATATCTAGTTTGTTGAACAATGCGAAAGAAATCCATGAAAAAAACAAACATGAGATATGTGATTTACATGCTTTTCATTCAAATATCCATTCCTATTTCTAGTTAAAACACTAAATCCAAATAAGCAACTTATATCAAACTATTTGCCAACCAATACATAATTGCTATTAAAGTAGAAAACAATGCTTATACAGGATATTTGTAATCAATATATGACAACAGGAGACGTAATTAAATATAAATTTATTGATTATTGATCAGCAATAATTACAAAATATATGAGTCATAGAAATAATCAAAGAGTGATGTTATTATCTACTCTAAATATAAGTATACAAATCATACAAAATTTTGTGATTATGGGTGAAATAATTAATGTTTATGTGATGAAATTTCTGGAGATGGAGAAATCGTTCCCCGAAAGATCAAAATGAAAAACAATAACACAGTTTCTTTTAATTTTCAGCTAATCTATTAATAATTAATATATTACAACAATATATTTATTGAATGCAACATTAATTTAAATAAGTGATTAGAAAGCTAATATTTTTGCATTTATATATTTAAAAAACAAAATAAACAAGATAGAAGAAGAAGACATTTCTTTTAAGGTGATGTGAACTGAACAAGTATTACTAAGTGGGTTGTAGCTGTGGCTATAATCTGAAACAGGGCCATGGGCTTGTTTAAATTTGTTAATAAAACTAAGCATTCTTATAGATTAAGCTATTATCTTAAGGAATCAAAATCACTGCTTTTCTGTTACATAAAGAACATTCTGTTCCTGTCTAAGAGTCTTATTAAGCTAGATACAGGTGTAATGAAAGAGGTTTATGAAGACATAGAGATTATATTTATCATGGTAATGCAACATAAATTAATTTTACTACCTACATAGAATAATACTTACATAATAATATTTTTTTTTATGCATACTCATAATCCCTAAATTTCATAAAATGATAAAAAAAAATGACTAGAAGAATGTGAGCAAGAAAAATTCATACAGAATAAAATTGTATTTTATAACTTATAAGAATATTATATTTTAGAAATGAATTTGAAAGAAACATTATGAGAAGGTTACGCATCTCTATCATCCATCTCACCCCTTCAATTAATAAATGTGCAAAGCTAATAAATGGTTCAGAGAAGTAAACAATTTTTTTTAGGTTTCTCCTACCTCAATAAAAATTTAAATATTGATGAAAAGTATCAATTTATTTGTATAAAAAATTATGTTTAATATCATATAATTTTCTTTGACCAAGAACGTACAATTTCTTCTATAATTTAAATTATATGTAAAATGTTCAGATTCATGTGTTATTATGAGAGAGATTTTACATCCACCAATGTAAGTCACTGAAGGATGGTATCATTAAAATTAACATGAAAATTATACTCACCGAAGTTACTAACGGGTAGCCAAGAGCATAGAAACCGCAAGCTGTGAATTGAACTCTTTGCTTTATTGTAACGTACAGATATAACTTGTCCTGAAACATTCATTACTTTGTTTTATTTTACAATATTCTTACCGCTCTATACTTTACACTATATGATATACCTATTATTTTTAACAAGTTTCCAGAACCCTTCATTATTTTCTTAAACGGATCTAACAAAAAATATAGAACTTTGATATATATGATATAAGCGATATAAACTTTATAAAAAATATGAGTTAAACCTAGAAGTAATCAAAGCTAGTGGAAAAATTGCCACCAAAGGGGAAGATCCTCAAGGAAGAAGTCTAATCTATTAAAGATTGGGTATAACGTTAAATTTGTAATAAAATAGGTAAATGCCATCAGGATCACATTCAGCTAATATTTTTTCACAATTCATCAGAATTGTTTCATTAGGTTTATCCTTGGAGTCTCCAGGCGCTCCCACGTCTCCAGTTGCTATGCTGAGTTGAAGTGGCTCTATCCAGTTTTCCGACAGCAATATTTCCTAGATATATTCCTTTTCTGAACCTTTAAAACCTAAAAATCTTACCTTCTTGATTTATTTACTGCTTGTTGCTCTGTTCATTTGTTCCATACGAGATTCCAACCCTCAAATCTGTTTATTCCTTCTCATAAAACTGTTTTATTTAAAAAATCCTTCCTCATAGATGCTACCTCATTTTGGAATTCCCTAGCAACCTCTGTACGGAAATTCTTATCCTTGATCTCATTTGAAGACCATTTACTTTTCCATTTCCTTAGTAATCAATCTCCTGAATATATGTAAAAATAAAGTTATTTTGTACTTTAGAGATGTCTGCCACATTTCAATGATATCTTGCAGATATCTATGTATTTGCCATATTGCTTATTTATCACCATTTAGACTTTAGTCTGAGTTGATGACCTGGGGTTTTATGCCTCAAAGCCCTAATCAACAACTAAAACAACAACTTAAGACTGCAATAAAGCAAGTAGACTACCATGATATTCAATTTTGCATTGGATAAAAAAGACTAAAATAAAAAAAAAGTTCATAATGGTTTGGATCAGGGCTTGATACGGAAAAAAACTTTTATTTTTATAAAGTTTCGGTATCATCGGAATTTTTATTGTTAATAGTTTTTTAGTTCTTTTGGAACAAGAATTTTTCTCTTTAAAATTTTCAAGTAAAAGTTTTACAGAACTTGTATTTTTAAAAAAGTTGTGATAGTTTTGCTAAAAAGTCAATCTAAAAAATGGCTTTTATTCATAGCTACCCAAACAAACAACATATTAGAATCATGTATAATTGTTTTAAGACAAATTATAACTCTAATATAAACCCAATTACTGTTAATTTTTCAATTGAGGAAAGTTTTTTAAGAACTTGAATATATAAAAGTGAAACTATTACCATAAACTTGGAACTTTATTACAAAAAAGATCTTTGAAACTTTTATTTTAAAAACTTTTTTCCTAAAATGTTTCACAGAAACTGTTTAAAATGAAACTTTTTTAAAATGTTCCATAAAAGTTTCATCTGCTTGTTTGGATATTGTTAACTTAGATATTATTTTTGGAGGAGTTTTTGGTAAGTGTCATCAAATAAATCACACACATCCCCAACCAACTTCAATTCAAAAAGTTCACTATATAAGAATGGCATCTTTAATTATACTGATAATCATTTGGTTGCTGCTATAGATGAAAACTAGGCGAATAAAATGTGCACTGATTGAAGAAGGAGCAAAATAAATGGAGAATAACTGTGTATCGTACTGTAGGCCAAAAGTTTTATACACTGATTTGAAGACGGATGGACTAAGTTCCATTAAATTCCTACGTCAGATCTTTGATATCATAGCTGTAGCCACAGCACTTACATAAATATGCCTAAATACAGAACCAACGAGAGGGGGTGTTATTTTTTATTTACGAATTAACGTTAAAATAAAGTATAGATGACATTACACCTATAATATGTAATGACATGTAATATGTGGACTTCAGATGAGTACTACTAGTAAATTTAATATTTGAGGGAGTCCAGGAAAATTAACCCTCGGTTTCTCTACACGACCTTACCTGAATAAATTATTTATTAAATTAAATCTAAAATATTGCTTATCCCAGAAGATAGAACAGATACCTAATGAAAAATAAAATAAAGTAAAAAATGACTTACATTGTTGCACAAATGGTTATTTTCCCTCATCAAACAGAATAATCTATCATTGAAGCTCTCTACCTGCAACATATATTTCATTATTAATTGTAGAGTACTGCAAAATTCCTTTTGTATTATTAAGATAGTATTATTTTATTATAAAGTTTAAATTATCATTATTATGTAAATAATATTCTCCATTGATTTTTAATGATCTACAATCAACAAAAATCTCTAATAAGGGCGGAGGTCACAGACAAGGGTCACTGATGTAAACCAATTTTTTTTTATAATTCCACACAGAAATATATTAGACACATGCCAGTCTAATGGGCCTTCGGAGCTGAGAAAAGAAGATTTACATATTTTCAAAACAATTTTATGTTACTTATTTTTGCCGAGATTTCTAGGTTATTATATACTATTTGATTTCCTTTTTTATGGAGATTAAGAAAAAATATTACTGATAGTATTAAATGAATTATAATGTATCATAAATTACAAAACCTAAAGATGCTTCTACTAAAGTAAATCTAGTAAATTTTGTTACGAAAAAGAAAGTTATATTAGTTTGTAGCATATTTTGGAACTAGTAAATATGAACTTTTTTTAGAAATAAAGAAATATAAATTTAAGTACTAGATTTTCTCCTATGATTTTTTTTTCCATCGCTCAACTAAACCATTCGCTACTCCTGAGCATTTCTCCCGAATTCAACGTTAATACAGTCATTTGAAAGCTGAATTACTGCCTTCCCATTCCATATCAATATCCTTTAAATTTTATTTCTCTATTAGCTATAAATTAATAAAAAAGAAAAACTTCTCTTACGTTTTTATTATATATCTTTGGTTCAAATTTGTTTACAGAGTTCGAGTTTAGTTCTTAAGGCTATAAATCCCAGAAAAGTTTTGTGTGGATCAGAAGAGTCCTCTGGTGGTATTCCAAAAAATTGCTAGGGTCTAAACTAGGCAAAGATTTGGGGAAAACAACTTTTATTGTTCAATTGCTATACAAATTAGTATTTAAGGGTTACATGTGGTAGGGAAAATGAATATCAACTTTATTTTTTTTAAATATTCACCCCCATACTGCTATTTGTTTCAACATTCTACTCTAGATGTAGCTGAATTGTTTTGAAATTCGATTCCACGTTTTTAATGGTGATACACCTTATCTTTACATGAACAGCATAGCTCAAAAATGAAAAGTCGCATGAAACTATAATTAATTATGTAAGCTATATGTCTGCGATGTTATAGAACATTTTTAGATTTGGCATCAGATTTAGAGTGAACCTGACATTACGAAATTTTATTTCAAAATGATGGCCAGATAATGGTTTTATACAAGTATATCTTGGGCATTTATGAACATAGGGATGATATATAAATGTTTCAGAACTCATATACCAAAGACTTAAAAAAAAAAATATTTTTTTAAAACAAATATTTGGAATAATAAATGATATAAAAATAATAATTTGTACCTTTTTTTATTAATAAACTAATTTAGGTCTAATGAACAAAAAATCAGTTATATACTATTGTATAAGATACTTCTTATTTTTAATAGTTATTAACAGATTTTAGAAATGTGACTAGGAAATAGAAATATATAGAGAGAAATATACAAGATATATACATAAACAAAGATCTCCAATTTCTAAAGCAAAACAATTGAAAATAATAATTTTTAGTTTTTTAAAAATTTTTTAAACAAATAAATTATTGATAAAAAAAAAAATTAATTACTGTTAAAATGGCCAATAGGAAAAGTAGACAAAGTATATTAAAAACATCCTATGAGAAAAAAGAATCTATAGGTATAATGAAATTGATAGATGACATTAAACATTAATATAAGGTAAGAATTTGACAAAACATTTGGCTTTCATTATTTTTGATAATAACGGTTTATTATTAATAAAATTATTAGAATATTTTCAATGTAATAATATTTTAAAATTATAAATATATGTAAAGTCATTTTTAGATAAAAAATGTGATGAAGATGAATATTGAGTCCGAAATATCGACCAAGAAGTAAAATAATGGTTATGAATCATAAAAAAATTAAAAATTATAAACAATAATAATTTGTAGCGATTCATAATATAAATAAAAATTAATTCTATTATATTGTATAATGTGTTCCTTTTTTTAGTAATTATAGATCCTTGAATTATAGCTTTGGATAAACGAAAAGGAAATTCTTACATATTTTTTACTAAAAGTTATATTTAGATGGTAGGAAATGAAAACCTCATAACCAGTTCCATAATTTTAGCTGCTTCTTATTTTCGATAGTTACAAGATTCGAGAATAGATGATTCAATATTGGAAGATGATTTCAAGACTAGGATATGGTTGCTTTCAATAAACAATCTTTGGAGAAATGGAGTGAAAAAAAAATCTTCTTTATGACTGTGTTATTCTTAATTGAATCAATAAAATGAGAAAATGTATGGAGATGATATTTATTTTGATAAGTATATATATATATAAATCTTAAATACTGTCAATTTCTTTAAGAAGTGTGAAGGAGTGGAGAAGAGGAAGGTAATAATGTAGGAGCATGGTAATAACTTGTCACTCCTAAAAAATCCTGTTTGTAGCCGTTTTTGACATTATATAGATAAATAACTAAGGCTTGTAAGGACAAATAACTAAGGAACTGAATCTGTATTTAGTTATATTATAATTATTCATGTATTAAAAGATTTATTATTTTCTCCTGTAAAATTCACACAAATTGATTTACGATTGTTTCCATTGTGAACTATCTACACTTTTCTAAAACTAATCTTCCACTTACAGCATTTTGAAAATTGGAGCAAGAACTACAAATATAAATCAACACAGACACATCTCCCGCGAGACCTGCAAGAAGAGCCATGTAAACCAAACAATTAACGAAAACTTCATCTGAAGGCGTGAACAAAGAATTCAGCCTGAAGGAATCGATGACGAAATAACCGGAGAGGATGATATTTATCAAAACACGACAACACAATAAGAAAATCTGCATAGAATAGAACTTGTTTAGGGATCTGCTCAGGTCAAGAATGAACAACGTTAAATCCAGCTGTAGGCTCAGAGTCTTCTCGTTGGGCTGCAAGGTCTCCGTCATCTGGTCCAGCTGACTTCTCAAATAGTCTATCAGGGCCGAGAAGCTGGTTGCTGCCAAGAAGGAAATTATATAAGCTAATTCCATCTCCATCTTGTTCGTCTGCGAATGGAAGTACAAAGGCGGGCATAGCCTGCACGCTGTTAACATTATTATCGAATAGCACACGATCAAAATCACATAAAATATTTTCCCATGCATCATTTCAGAGGCATGGGGCATCTCTAGGAATCTGATCCCTGTAATGACTTTTTGCAAAGTTTTCCTCCTGAACAACAGTGAGCAAGCGTGTGCTCCGATGATGAGGAAGTCCGACAGTTCTCGAATTGCAATCATCAATTCCACTATGAAGTTTCGACTAGCTCGTTTGGAATCCCAAAGGTCTCTGGACGTTTTGATGTAACAGATCCAACCACAGACCAACATGTTCACTGCTAGCGAATAAAATATACCAAATCTGGAGGATTGAAGATTTCTGTCGCACGGAAGAACACCAAGAATTTGACAAGCAAGAAATAACGGTTTTTGAGAGTTCAAACTGACTAATTCCATTTCCACGGTAGAACGAAACAATTCGTATCACGAGCGAACAACGGTGTAGTAAAGAACGATTTCTTCGATCTTGTGAAGGTTGGTTGACGGTGAAGTGTTGTACAAACACATCAGTTAAGAATTGTAATATTTGCATTAAGGAATAGGTAAATACGTAATCTTTGCCACGGGGAACATTGATTTCATTTCTTCAACCACTTGAATAAAAAAATAATATTGAGGATCAGTTTGGTTGGAGTTTTCAGTAAATAAAAATACAAACTAAAATAAATAAATTATATTTATTTTTATTTCCTGTGTTCCAGCGTTTCATACTTCATCAGGGCTAAGCAAAGACAAGATAATATATAAATATTGAGAACATTCAAGAAATAAATATATAAATATAATTTATTTATTTTTATTTTGTATTTTCAATAACTGAAAACTCCAATCAACTTCTTTTCAATTTATCTTCAACAGTCAGTTATCCACACTTCTACAAAAATTATCCACTGTTATTTAAAAAAAGTTAAATAATAATATTGTCATAATCATTTTTATTTTCACTTACCTATATATGAAATATGTAGTAAGGGACAGTATTGCGATTATGAAAATTTTTTAATCTTAGGTTTCAATGAAAATACATGTTTTGAGGTCTCCTGAGCCCAAATAGCATAGTACCGCAAAATGGTCTGTGTGTGTGTTTGTGACCAGTCTAAAACGAAAAGTCGTATGAAAGTGAAATTGTGCATTTGAGTTTTGTATACACCTCTGACGTTACAGCAATTTTGTCGTCAAAATCGCCTGACCGGAAGTGGCACTTTAAATCAAAGATTATACACATTTTTACAATTTTCTCAAAAACGGCTCTAACGATTTTGATTAAACTCGGTGTATCATTGTATAGTTAAGTGGTATTTAATATCATTGAGGTCTTATCTCTATTGATATCACTTAACAGTGCTTAAATGTTCGACATCTCTTCCTTTAAAGTACCTTTAATTTGTTTTGTTTTTTAAATAATTCACTACCTCTCATTATTAAGAGTTACGAAAAAAATGCTAAATATAACTTTTGAAAGAATTTGATAATTAAAAATGAAGAAAAAAAAGAAAAGGTTTATTTATTTCGAAAATGAATTTTCAGAAATACTAGTCAGAACCTATACGTATAATATATCGTTGGAAAGCGGAGACTTTTAGAAAAATCAATGTCTAATATAGAAAGGAATGGAAGAGTGACGATAAATTGTGAACAATAATTTGTGAAAACTAATATTATTTAACGGAAATCACATGATTTCAAGGAAATTAAATGAAATTTGCTAATTAAATGTAAACTTTTTTAAGTTTAAAAAAATATTTAAAATCCACTTAACAAGGCAATGACATTGTTAAAAAAAACTATTTCATAGTACTCCTATGAAAGAAGAAGTGAATTATAAAAATATTTCATGGATGTATAAAGCATATGTTTATAACCTTAAATAAATTTACTCTAGTTTAATAATTCTAGGTCTGATATTATATTTAAGTAATTAAGTATCAACGTCCGTTTCTTCAGAAAATTGTCATGTGACCTTTTAGAAAATTAGTGAATTATTTGATGAATTTTCCTTTTGTGAAACCCGAACATTAACCATTTAAAATTAAATGCTTACAATTAGTGTGACAAATTTTGACCTATCTATAGCAGGCAATAAAAATCTCGTAATTTCATTTTAGTAAAGTTAACAATAGAACAGTTTAATAACTAATAGGCTTTCAACCCATGATCATTTATAGGTTGAATATACAGATCTACTTTCAGATCTCTCTAGGCATATATATTTAGTTAAGAGACTGAAGTTAAGTGGTTAACAAAAATAGATAGAATACCAAGGTTTTTATTGCCTACCGTTGATATAATTAATAGGGTTTTTGTGGCCTTAATGATTTGTTAGCTATAACCTTTAAGCTATAGCTCCGTTAAAAGTGCACTTCAAAAATTTTATAATTTCTCAACATAGCCAGAAAATTATTTCTATCCAAAGTAGAGAGGTAAGTGAAAGTTGTGTGTTGCGCGTACCACATTATTTTTTTATCTATCCAAATTAATTCTTTCAATTAAATAACTCGTTATAAGATCGTGGGTTTATTGCAAAAAGTTACTAAGTGCATTTTTGATGTACGTAGGCTAAATTTTAAATTTGTTTCTGTGAATTTTAACCTTTTTTAATAATAGAAAAATATCGCACGTGTATGAAAATTACGCAAACCTTTTAATTTATCATATATTGTTTCTCTAAGTGGATAATTTTCTGATTCCACAAAGGGAGAATTCATCGAAGTACGTACTTATTTGAGGTTATGAAATGTTACTTAATGACTTTTTGCAATAAACTGACGAGATAAAAAGTTATTTATGGATATCAATAAAACAATAGAGAATGGAAATGCTGTTATAAACATTTAGTTCTGAAGATAGATTGGATTGGTTCGCACGATAATCAGAGAAATCTGGGATTAGAGTATTAACGCATGGAAGAGAAGGATTAATAAAGAACTGCTTACAGAAACTGGCCAATGGAAATAGCTCAAGATTGGTAGAGATGGAGAAGAATGGTTAAGGCGACAAAAGATCTACAATGGTGGTACCAAGAGAAAATAAAATAGAGTGTTCGAAAACTGAAATGTTATTTAAATATTTTTCTAATAAATGAACAAGAAAAGTATGAAGACATTTTTTCACGAAAATACCGAGTATAAAATATATAAATAGTATTAAAAATTTTCCTAGTGTTAGAATTTGGTTTATTATTTAGTTATTTGGAGAAAAATCACAACAATAAAGTGGAAATATGTGTATAGAATTTTCAAACCGAAGACAATAGGTTATGACAACCCGCCTTAATTGTCCAATATAGAGGATGTTTAACCCAATATTAAAAAAATTACCCAATATAAATATTTACTTATTTATTTTTTAAAAGTAAATATAAAGATTTAATTTATAGCAGCATATGTTTTTAGTATTCATCTGTTAAGTTTTTATAGTAATCGAAAAATTGAACCATTTAATTGTAGGGAAACAATCCTTTAACGATGATATCGATCATTGCGAAGTGCTTACCATCAGATGAGAGATAATGGAAAAAATATCAATTTCTGGTAAGTCGCTGTTACTTAAATTCGATATTTCACTTAAGAATTATCTTATTAACCAGAATTCCTTGAGACAGGTTTATTATACTGGTGGCATGTGCAATTTCAAAATCGACTGCGAAATATAGCAATTCCATCGATGCATTACTAGACAAGCTGTACTCGAATGAAGAATTATCTGGAAATAGAATTGTATTTAGAAGCAGTGAATTAAGCAAGAAACCTATATTAAATGAAAGAAATGCTTCGAAGATCCCCCACACATCGCAGAACATTGGAGGCGGACGTGCAGATTTGATGACTAGATTTAACGATTATTTAGCAAAGATTATTTTTAAAAAATCAAAAACTGCTAAAATACTCGGTAATCCAACCAAATCCCCAATGGCTATTGGAGCATCGATTTACAATAACACACTTCTAAGCCTTTCCAAGGGAGAACTTAAAAACGTAAGGTTGGCAAACGACAATGGCAATGTTAATTGTTTGACCAGCATCAACGCTGGATACTTATCGAAGAACCGTGTAGGTAACAAAACCAATCGATCGCAAAAAAATCCTTCCCTGATGCATTGCATACTCAACCCTTTTTTCTTGAAGGGTTTGAGGAGAAACAATATTTCAAGTAAAAAGAAAGAAAAAATAGTCATCCATACTACTAACTCAACTGCGAAATCTAAGAAAATGAATAAAAGTTACACAACCTATTCTTCTAGCCAAAATACAGTAACTAAAATCACACCTGTCAAATACAATAGTTTAAATGAAGATTGGTCTTTGGTCACTAAACTGCCGTTGCTTCACAGTAAGCCACCTTCCGTCGTGGACAATTTAGAATCTCCTTACTATCGATCCAAATCGGCAGAAGGAAAATATTTTAAAATGTTCCGCAAAAACCTAGAAGATGTATGGAGTGGAAGAAAGATGGGTAACAAAACCAACATTTCTGCACTTCGGTCGAAAAGTAATGAAGAAAATTGTGTATCTAAACCGGCTAGATTGGAGGATATGGTGAAAAGAGACGACTCAATGGGCACATTACTCAATCAAACATTGCTGAATTTCAGTTCACAAATATTCGGCCTCTTGCATGAACCAGAACCGGCCAATCATAGAGAAGAGAACACTAAATTGATAGAGAGTAATAAATTTTGGAGCACAATAAAGAAAAAAATCATCGGTGGGACCCGTATCAATCACAGTAATTTATCATACGAGGTCATCAGGAGTAGTAATGATTCCAAGTGTAGTAATAATTCGAACTGGAGGTGGTGACATGCACATGTCTTACACCTCACGATTCGGGCCACGCCTAATAAATTTATTTTACAAAACATGATTATTGAATAGACATGTTTAAAATGCTAAGATGACCAGGCATTTTGAAAAACCAGTATAAGTTTATTCATTTTTTGAACTATAACGTATTGTTCTACAAATGAAGAAGGATTAGTACTTATTGAGATAAGATAGAGGAATGACCAACCTCACATGATCTCTTGGTTTATTCTTTTCAAAATTCTTTCAGTGTTAAAAAATGTTCTGTTGTCGCCATTACCTATTCTTAATATTTCTTATCAGACGTATTCTCTTCAACGCCCCATAAACTTTTGATTCTACCTTTGTCTCATTTTTATTGATACGTTTGTCTTTACAGTTCAAGGGATTGCCTAGGTGCGATCGGAGAGGAACATTTGGGATCTTTAACTTAAATCATGTCTGTCAAGCTTTCAATTTAACATGATT